TGCAGCCCTGCGCTCGCTCTCTCGCGCACACCGTCTTCCCGCGCAGTCGCACCACACACACATCGCAGACACCACGCCAAGGTTCTACCCACACACACACAGAAATCACACTGCACCGATACTCTGTACTAAAGTTTATTAACGGCACAAATAAACACTACCTGGAGGTGGAATACTTCGCAAGAAGAGCTTAGCCTAACTCTGCCTACGAACCCAGTCACTCACTCAAACGTCCTACCACGTACCTCGTAGCTGTACTCACGGCGTCGCACGGACGTTGTGAGAGTCGGAGGGAGAAGGACGAGCGAAAACCTCACCTATCACTGCCTCGTAGCAGCACTCGCTGGCATCACACGGATGCTGCGAGCGGCTCGAGGAGGCAGGATGGCAGGGAGTGGGTCTTGACGGCCTGGAGGTTGAAGACAACTGCCCTAAAATCGTCCCGGGTTACTTTTTTTATTTTCGAAACTTCAAAGGCCCAGGGTGATGTCGTACCGCGCAGCCAATCATGCGCTTACCCGCGCGGTCGTCCCTCTCCACCATCTCTATTGTGGCCTAATCCCCTCACTTCAAATGCCCAGGGTAGCATTGTACCTCGCAGCCAATCGTGCCCTTACCTGCGCCGTCTCCATGGAGTGCCACAGATTGTGCTGCTGTTCTGCTCACCCATTGTTCTCCCGTTCTCATTCATTCTAACCTACTGGTCTGCCCTTCTTGCCTAATATTCCACCCTCAACCTCTCCCAATGTGAATAAATTATTGTGGTTGGCCAAGTGAACCTTTTCCTTCTGTGCCCATATAATTTTAAGCCATACTCTTTGGTTCTTTCGGTACAGTCACGTAGGTATAAAATTCGATTTGAACTTTATAATTTAGACAAGACTCTCTTACAATCACACTTAAAATTAACAGATAAAATGTCCACTTCTGATTGGCACCATGTAGATAACATGACAATAAGCCAGAGCCACACGTTAAAAAGTTAGATGTAAACAAGATTCATCTTCTTGTTTCTTTCGGTAAAGTCACGTAGAAGGGAAGTAATAAAATAATAAAAATAAAACATAATAAAACAATTCTCACGACGTTTCGGCTACAACGCAAGCAGCCGTCTTCAGGTGAAGAATGAGACACTACCAAACTAGGAGCTTATATATAAGCTGCATTGGGGGTTGAAGAGCGCCTTAACAAAAAGAATGTGCATGTGAAGAGGGATTTAGCATATTCATGGAAAATGCGTAGGCGTTGGGCGGGGGGGTGTCAAAGTCATATTATGCCCATGCATTATGCAGGATCAGCAGCAACCAAGGGGGGTGCAGGGATTAGCAGTAACAAAGGAAAGGAATGTTAATGATATGTAGCTGCAGTTACTCAACAACCACGTAGAAAACTAAAGTATAAACTACATAAAAAACTAAAGTATAAACTGCATCGCACCATCAGTATACTTACTATACTCTATAATAAGCTGAGTTACTAACAGCAAGTAATACATTACAATTTTACCTCGTAAAAATTCTATAATATGCTTCCATCTAAACCTTATTCTCTTACATCACACGAGCATATACCGTACTATATACTGCCATAGATAAACCCAACATTAAATTATATACTGTATTGCTGTAAACCAACCTATATCTTATACATTTAATATCACACTATGTATTATTCTACACACCCTAATGTGTATCGAAATGGTTTATTACGTCCTTCCAATGATTGCTGAGCCAGAATCCATCTTCTCGGTTAAAATTGTCTCTGTGTTTGTATATGTGGATCGCCTCATGAACGAATCTCTCATGATAGCCAGATGGCTTGCAGAGAACCTCTGTCTTGGAGAAGTCAATATCATGTGAGCCCACTGAGTTGTAACAGTGATCTGCCACTGCTGAGGTGTTAGTCCTACCGTGTTTCAGGTCAGCTTTATGTTCACGGATGCGGTCCGAGACATGTCGTTTGGTTTCACCAATGTAACTGCTACCACAGAGGCAACTTAGTTTGTAGACGCCAGGGTACTGTATGTCTGGAACCACATCTTTTACAGACGGTACCAGATCACGGATTTTATGTACTGTGTTGAATCGGACCTGGATCTTGTGTTTAATCAGGATTTTGGAGATCTTTTTTGTGACCCCAGCAATGTAGGGTAAGGTGATGGTCTTGAAAGGCTCCTCAACAGGATCCTTCTTGATGGTTGGAGTGATGGCTTTGCGGATTGTATAGTCGGAGTAACCATTTGCCTTAAGAGCTTGGCGTACGTGTTTGAGTTCACTGGAAATGTGTTCATGGTCGGAGATGCATTGGGCTCTATGATATAGAGTCTTGATGAGGGAATTCTTCTGGGATGGATGGTGGTGGGAATCCGGTTTTAGATAAGCATCCGTGTGGGTGGCTTTCCTGTAGACAGAGTGGCTCATTGAACCATCAGGTCTCCTTTTGATTAGGACATCCAAAAAGGGTAGCTTGCCATCATTTTCGACTTCCATGGTGAATCTGATGGCTGGGTGTATGGAATTGATGTGGTCGAGAAATTGGTCTAGAGCAGGCCGGCCATGTGGCCAGATGACAAAAGTGTCGTCTACGTACCTCTTCCATAAGGTCGGGCGTAGAGTGGCAGTCTGGATGGCGTCCGTCTCAAATTTCTCCATGAAGATGTTGGCTACAACCGGAGATAGGGGGGAGCCCATTGGGGTGCCCTCAATTTGCTTGTAGAAGGTTCCATTCCAGGTGAAGTATGTATTGGTTAAGCAGTGTCTCACCAGGGGGGGTACCCCAGCATTCAGTCCTTGATGAACCAAGTCTTCAATGATTGCGATGGTGTCAGGCACAGGTACCTTGGTGAACAAGGAAACCACATCAAAACTGACAAGCAGGTCGTCTGGGGACAGGGCAATCCCCTTGATTGTCGATACCAGGTCAGTAGAGTTTAGTACTGCAGAGGTGGTTTTTCCAGTGAAAGGCCGTAGGATTTCGGACAAAAAACGAGCCAGTTTGTAAGTGGGGGAGTTGATAGTAGAGACAATGGGACGAAGAGGTGTATCTTCTTTATGTATCTTTGGTAAGCCGTACAATCTTGGTGGTCTGGCTGCAGAAGGTTTCAACGAGAACTGTTTGGTCTGATCAATTAATGCGGTTGAAGCAGAAATGATGTTGTTGGTTTTGGAGACGAGGCTGTTGGTGGGGTCTCTTTTTATTTTTGTATAGCTGCCATCGTTTAGTAGTTCTTGAATTTTGTTGTTGTATTCTATTTTGTCCATGATGACAGTGGCATTGCCTTTGTCGGCTGAGAGGATGACAATGTCATCCCTCTTTTTTAATTGAGCTAATTCAAAACGCTCCTCTTTGCTGATGTTGCTAGCTGGCATCTTAGCGTTTTTGAGGGTTACAGAGATTTCGGATCTTGCTACGTCTGCAGCGATGTGACTCAAGCCCTTGAGAGCTACATCTACTCGAGCAATTATATCATTAACTGGTATGTGTCTAGGTGTGACTGCAAAGTTTAGTCCTTTAGCTAAAACGGATTTCAAACCTTCAGAAATAGGACTGTTACTGCGATTAATTACGACTTTGTTAATATCTAGCTTTTCAATGTGTGGGTCCGGTTTCTTGTTTGAGAGGCGATTGAATTTGGAAATCAAGTTGTCCTTACATTTAGTCGACATAGCGGCAGCTGAAGAGGCAGTCATTTTTTCTACATGTTCCCAATCCGATGTGGACATTGTTACACTCAAAGATAAGTGTGATTTGTAGAGTGTCTTGTCTAACTGATCTAGTTCGGTGCGCGTAAGTCTGATTTTCTCTGAGATAAGAGCTAAGCTAGTTCTAGACAGAATTCGTTTCGCATTAGAAGAAGTTACAGCAGCAGATGTTAGTGTAAATGCGTTTGGTATTACCTTAGAGTCGCGGCATCTCTTCAGAAAGGTGAGAGACTCGATTAGCTGAGCCTTCTTATCTCGGAGCTTGTTGAAGGATCTCAAAGTTATGTGGAAACCCTCCCCGTAGAGGCGGTTAAATTTCGATTTAAAGCTTTCGTGACTGCAGGGATTCATCTTCTTGTTTCTTTCGGTAAAGTCACGTAGAAGGGAAGTAATAAAATAATAAAAATAAAACATAATAAAACAATTCTCACGACGTTTCGGCTACAACGCAAGCAGCCGTCTTCAGGTGAAGAATGAGACACTACCAAACTAGGAGCTTATATATAAGCTGCATTGGGGGTTGAAGAGCGCCTTAACAAAAAGAATGTGCATGTGAAGAGGGATTTAGCATATTCATGGAAAATGCGTAGGCGTTGGGCGGGGGGGTGTCAAAGTCATATTATGCCCATGCATTATGCAGGATCAGCAGCAACCAAGGGGGGTGCAGGGGTAAACAAGATTGTTATCAAACAGAGTAACATCCCAATTTCCGACAGCCTAAAATCGGTACTAGCTAAAGGGTTGAATTTCGCAGTCACCCCTAAACATATCCCAGTGGATGATATAATCGCGCAGGTCGACGTAGCCCTCAAAGCAGAGGTCGCAATCAGGTACCCGATACCCGGCCGGGTACGGGTACCCGTTTGCGACCCTGGTGCGGCCGGGTATGGGTACGGGTAGGCCGTGAGTCACTGGTGAGTAACCGTTTGTCACTCATTTCCCAACGTCTTGTCTCTTCTCACAATTCAAGTTCCTAGAATCAACCCACCCGCGCCTGCAACATGGCTTCATCCCAGAGGTGCTGGCGTCCGCGGATGGAATTCCTTTCCAGCTCAGACCCCGCTTGCTTGCCCATCGCCACATATATAACCTTGTTGTAACTGCTCTCTCGCTGGCTCAGCAGTTCCACTGCTGGATTATTTATTTCCGCCTGAGGACGACCGCTTGTGTTGCGATCGAAACGTTGTGATATATTATTTTGTTTTATTTTTCTACTACATGACTTTACTGAAAGAACCAAAGAGTATGGATTCCTGCAGTCACGAAAGCTTCAAATCTAAAATGTGAGTTTCACTTCATTTTTATTTCAGTTTTTAAAAAAGAATACATTTTGGGGGAAACCCCAACGTTTACACATTTAAAGCAATTTTTTTTAAATACTGTACTATATATTTAATTAATGCTCATTTTCACTCCATACATATTTTAAACAGAAAACAGTTCTGGCGAGATTTGTTTTACTTTTCCTGATGTTTAAGCAAGAGATGTATATTAATGATATAAAATATCTCCTGTCAATAGACCACCTGTGGATCGAATGCAGGCAATGATTTCGATATCTAGATCAGCTTAAGCCCCCGTTAAATCCAGTGACGTTTGTGTGGCCACTGAATTCCTCCCCTCTCCCTGCCAACTTTGAAAATAGATGCTGCTTCCGTGCAGCGTCGACCACCTTATGTAGCCTCTTTCTCCATACCCTCATGTTTCCTGACCATTTGGTCCCATTTTTATATTTGTTTTCCATAATTTTCCCTCTTTTATTTGCCATTATTTTTCTTCTCTCTGCCTTTTCCCATTAGTTTTGGTTTTCCATACATCATAACTCTTGACTCTACTCCCCTCCCTGTTGTGTGCCAGGGGTAAAGAGTTGCTAGTACAAGATGACCAAACATCTCTAGTCCTTGTACCACCTTTCCTAAAACCCAATCTTCATGCCAACCTTGTTGGCAGACACTAAAATACGAATTATGGTGGGGAGTGAGATCTGGAGTTTTAAGATCGTTAAAAGCGCATCGTGCACTACAGCAATGGGACATGTTAATAATCCTCATGAAAAACACACATATAGAAATCATAATGTATCATACTGCTACGAGATACAGCTTTTGATGAAAATCACGAAACAATATTACAATACTAGTTTTCCACATGCTTTCACTTTGAAAATACTTCCCTGTTTCTGATGTGATGTATTTACTATGAATTATCATGTGGATCAAAATCTACTGTTCAACTATAAAGTGCAGAGTATGTCAGTGCTTACATCATATCATGCCACTGAAAAGTTGGGTGCTCCGATGTTCACGACTGGTTTTCAATCGGTGCCACTGAAGAATAAACCAATTTAAGGAAATAACCAAAAGGGAGTGACTCCATAAAAAAGCATCACCTGTGATTGTCGTGTGGCTCAGTAGTCAGAAAGCTGATATGGTACAACTGAGATGTTGACAATTCCTGGGACTTTCACAACCTCTACGCAGTTGCCAAGGCACAAGGAGCGAGTGTGGAGGTTTAGAGAGATGCAACTTATGCGATGGCAATCTGAATAGTAGAACGTGTGAGTGTAGTTGGATCAACTTAGATTAAAATGGTTCATTATAATTATTTCACAATGGAGACACCGTTAAAGACACCATGTATAGTTTCATGGCTCTGGGTAGTTCAGGTGACTGTTGCACAACATGCCTCAGTTGGCCTGCCAAGTAGTTAGGGATTTACATAGATGTTGGGCAGGTTAATTATCTTTCACCTTCACGTATAATTGTTTAAGTATGTCTTTGATACTTCTTTCAGCTAAGGAAATATAATTGCGTGCTGACAGATGATGTTATACTTGTTCTCCAGGACTTTGTGACAATTTCCACTTGAATGGATGACTGTGTAGAGAGCTGTCCTATCATAATACTAGACCAGGGCTTGACAACCTGCGGCTCCGGTGCCGCAAGTCTCAGATTCACATTGCATTGCGGATCGTAAAATACTGAGTTGTTTTCTACCGAATTGGAATTTTTTTAAATCTTATTGTTATATTGGTTACCGATCTCTGCACTATACACAGTCATGACAGTAGAAATCAGGCCTGTATTGAACTGATAAGTACAAACTATGTATGCTGCCATGCTGCTTTTGCTCAGGAGAATGGCTGTGCATGTCTAATGCTGATGTTAGATCAGGCTCGAGTGAACGTGATCTAGTGGCCCTGCAAAGAATTTTGGGATGTTTAATAAAAATGTACTCTAGTCTTAGCTGTTTTTCTCTTTATTGCATGAAGATTGTCACTGATATAACCTCAACAGTTGTATAACACGTTCATTGCGAATAACCAATAATTTCTAACAAATAATGAGATGTTACATTCAGGCTTCCCCTTTCATTGCCTTGTTCTTTAAACGTGTCCCATTTCGTGTTATACGTGATATTGACTCATGCTTGACGATTGGAAACGCACTGAAGCCTGCAGTGTTCATCTGTTGGGTTTGTCGGGTTTCCGTGGGTCGCTCGGCTTGGATGGCTCCGCTTTCATTGAGCTCTTTGGTGGAGCCTGCGGTGAGTTGGCTTGTGCAGGCTTGGTGGCCGGGGCAGCAGCAGCAGGAGAAGGAGCAGCAGCGGGAGGAGGAGCTGCTCGTGCAACAGTAGCAGGAGGACCTGCTCGTGCAACAGCAGCAGCAGGAGGAGGCGCAACTGCTGGAGCAGCAGCAGCCGCCGCTGGGCCAGCAGCAGCAGCCGCCGCTGGGGCAGCAGCAGGAGCTGCCGGAGCCTTGCCAGGGATCGCGGCTTGAGCACCCGTGGGAGCGGGGGCTGTGCCCGTGCTAGCGGTGGCTGGAGCAGGAGTCTTTGCGGGAGCTGGGGGCGGTGCTTGCGCCGACGTCTCCTTCCAGCGCCGAGCGCCCGACGTGCTGTTGTACTCGTACGTCTTCCCTGTCACTGGAGCGGCAACCAGAGACATCATCACAACCCGACGGGTGATGCCACCATCTCCAAAAGACTGGCTGTGTATGTGTGTGTTCCAAGGCATTATTACATATATGTATACTGTTATTTTATTTCTATATAAGGGCGCCACGATGGCGATATGTTAAATCCTTCGCCTGGTATACAAGAGGTTATGGGTTCGATTCCGACTCTGGTGCCTGCTGTATAGTTGGAGTTTGCATTTCTCTCTCCCCGTGCTCGCGAGGATTTAATCCCCGGGTCATCAAGTTTTTCCCTCCACATTTAGAAACACACGTTTCGAGTATTTGGCTGCGATTAAATTTCCACATAAGCAATTTCGTCGAGCTATCATTTGTGGCCAGGTCACTTCTGAAACAAAACTATATAGCTCAGTGGGCCTCAACTGGTCAAATAAAAGGAGCTATTAAAAATCTACCACTATAATTGGAAAAAAAACTAGTCGTGGTCCAGTGATTAGCATGCTGCGCTGTTAACCCAGAAACCCGAGTTCGATTTCCGACCACAGCTAACGTAAGTGTCGAGTGAGTGAATCAAGCCTAGCTCCTCCTTGACCCTCTTCCATACTTCACCATTGACCAGCATGGTGAAGTATGGTGAAACTACCCCAGTGACCGAGACGGTTTGGGAAGATCTTAATCTCACAATACATTTGCAAAGGTCTGTACTATAGTTTAATGTGCATATTACCAGGGAGAGATTTTTGGGCCAGTTTCATTGATGAGCATCTTACATGTGGGAGGCTAGCAGAGTACACCACCCTTAGAAAACCCAGCCGTACCCAATGTGCGATTGGCACATCATGGAGATCACTTTCCATGACTTAATCTCCCGCTGGAATCAGAGTAGACGCGATCTCATTGACACGTGACTGAGATGCCTTAGAAATACTTTTTGGTGATCCATACAGTGGAGTAGCCTTTTCAGCAACTCTTGTGTTGATGATAAATCTAATAATTACAGTTGAATCACGTACGCATACCAAAACTGCTGCAAATGAGAATCAATTTCATTTAATAAGCTCACGCTAATTTTAACTCATCCCATGCCTAAAATGTAAAACTTGAATGCACGAATTATTCATATTGACAGAGGCATCACGTGAACAGATATTCAGGCATAATATCTTGGAAATGGACAGCATTCATCTCGTGTAGGCAGCAAGCAGTGTCAGTGTCTGTATAGAGTACAAATGTGAATCTCAAAGTCTAAAGTCTCTACGATCTGTATAGATGGCTCTTATCTCTAGCTTCAAGCAACTCAGCGACCTTTATTTATCAGGCTTGACTCTGCTAATGAGACTCAAAGTCGAAAGTGGTACAGAGTTTTCTTGTTTCAACAAATGCTGCTGGAAAAAATTGTTTGGAAGGCCAATAGGTCGGCAAAATAAAATACAATTTTATTTTTACAATAACAGACATACTTTTGTCCGTGTATTCATTTTATAGAATAGTTTCTTAAGAGGACTTTAAATCAATCTCATCACGATATCCGGTGGGGGAAATGGCTGAGCGTTTCTAATGTTCTGCTGGTATTGGACACTGCGGACATTAGTGGGGTTATCACTTTGACAACAACTAAAGAACAGAAAGGCAAAGAGGTGGCACTGGAGAAGACTTTGATGCTCACTCACCTGGGTCGATAGCCTCTCCGTCGAACACAGTGTTGATCTTGGTGATTTCCTGCGTGACACACAATAATGTTATAATTAATATATAATATTAATACGTATTTATTTATCCAGGAAAAAAAAACAATGAGGTCGAGAACTATTTTTCAGAAGGGTCCTGCATTGGGTTTATTTGTTTAAATATTTTCAGCCAATTAATTCGTGTTTATTATACTTGTGGGGGGAAACTGGCGCACTTGCCGAAAACCCACACGTGAGAGGGGGCTAACACTCCATCCCTCGTACAGACGGAAACCGATGGAGATTAGTTCACTTCCTGGACTGCCTTCTCCTGTTGAGACAGGGTTTGGCACCTCGGCGCTCACGAGAAAGGTTAGTTTCACTATGTTTGTGTGGTGATCAACCCTTGCCTCAAAAGTATTGAATTACATGTGACGTGCATAGCCACCATCGCTTGGCACGGCCACAGCGACATGTCACCAGAGCTAAGCACAGGGCAGGTGCACTGGTACAAGCTTTAGAAACCTGCCCATGTGCTCACTGATGCGTCCCACACAATACCATAGGGCAGCATTAGGAAACACACACTTCACTGTGTGCGTGTGGATTGTGGTGTTTGATGTTGTACGTGGATGCTGTGCGTCGTGCGGATTTATGCATGGGTGTACCTGCGTAACATCACAAATTGCTTAGCAGCAAGAGTCGTGCACGTCGTGGCACCTCCACCCGTGTGCACAACTTAAACCATCGCTGTGCAGTATTGGCAGTTGTCAGTGCATGAGCTTGTTTTAAACTCAAACTATTTTTACTCTTTGGTTCTTTCGGTAAAGTCACGTAGAAACAAAATACATTTAATAATACGACGTTTTTGTGTGTCTATGTTGTCTCTCTCTGTGTGTCTCTGTTGTCTCTCTCTCTGCTTTTGTGTCTGTCTGTGTGTCCGTGTATGTGTTTGTCTCTCTCTCAAATTTAGCAATCTTTGGATGAACGTCATCAACCAGGTGAGGTGCTGACTGTTGTGTTGGCCGACTCTCTGTGTTGTATTGCATTGTATTTCTAATTTCACTAGGTTTGTTTTCTACCTGATGACGGTTGCTTGTGTTGCGATCGAAACGTCGTATTATTTAATTTATTATCTTTCTACGTGACTTTACCGACAGAACCAACGAGTAATTCCTGCAGCCACGAAAGCTTAAAATCAAGTTGAAACTATTTTTTACTTTACGAGGTAAGGCCCACTGAGCTAGATAGCTCTTCTTCAGAAGCGACCTGGCCACAAATAATTGCTCAACGAAGTGGCTTATTACGTGGAAATGTACAGTAGCCAAATACTCAAGAGAAGCCCGCAGCTTCGATATCCTTCGCGTCAGCATGCAACCCAATTTGTTGTGGACTGTGACAATTGATTTGTTAGATCGTTAAGCAGCTATGATGAGATTACTGAGGCCAAATTAATATCAGGGATATGGGCCCATTTGTAACATTTTACAAATTCATTTCAGAACATCGGTTATTTCAGATATTGCCAGTACATAATTTGTTATTGCAGTGGATAAGAGACCGAGCATAATCACCTGCACAAACTCAACTTTCTTTTTCTCTGCAGCTGTTAAGACAAAAACAGGGATGTATTAAAATGCCTTAAGACATACAATTTTCTCATTACAGTATAATAACAAATGTTTGTTCAAATGGAACACTTTTATATGACAGTGAAGACCTCTTATCCATCCTCCTATTTCCATCTCTTCCTGTTATCTAAGACTCCTCAATAGATCCACCAACCTTCCTATGATCTGCTAGTCAATGCTTATTGTCGTGGCATGTTCATTCGATCATCTGTGCCTACACATGGGTTCGACCTCACCTATATAGAACAATAATAGTGAAGTATGGGAATTGACGGCAGGAACTTCTTGACGGGTAACACACTTTTATTAAATCCTTTAGGTATCACAATACAACGTGTGGTCTTTCTTCTTCCTCCGACACACTCCACTAATCTCGTGTAAGCTCTAGGCCTCTGGCTACACCCGATACACTTGACTCGTGTAGACCCTATGCCTCTGGCTACACACCATATACTCGACTCGTGTAAGCCCTATGCCTCTGGCTACACAATACACTCGACTCGTGTAAGCCCTATGCCTCTGGCTACACAATACACTCGACTCGTGTAAGCCCTATGCCCTGGCTACACATAATACATTCGGCTCGTGTAGACCTATGGCTACACCCACTACACTCGCCTCTGGGTTACACAGAGTCCCGGTCCCCTTAGGACAGCGGGGCTAGGTACCGCAGGGCTCTAGGTCTTCATCCCCGTCTTCATTCTTCGCTGGTTACACACTGCCCTTACGCCTGTGTGCATCCCCTTTTATAGCCCCCGCTCACGAGAGACGGAGCTGATGCGGCGTCGACGTGAGCGTCGTTCCTTAATGACCCAATCACGACGCACTCTCTCTACGATCCGCTCTCCCCAGCGCGTGTTAACATTACTCCACCAATCACACTGCGCTGCCACCTGATCACTCCCTCTCAGCGCGTCACCGCCCACAGCCAATCGGTACCCCGTAACCCACGACCCCGCGCTGACCCCTGATCCTCCACCGTCAGCGCGCGTCACCACCTACACAGCCAATCATCACGCACTGTGCATACGATCCTTAATCCCAGCGCGTATCACCTCTACAATAGTAATCGTACTGTTGCGACTGCATAATCACATCAACACATGCTAAGCTTGTCCATACCCACGCACGGATTAAAAGAATAACCTAGAAATCAGGAATATGTGCCCTCTTAGTCGTACTTTTCTGCGGATGAGACGAAAAATCTGTAGGTTACAGGAAATGAATCCGATGATGCGTGTTTATCTGACAGTTTGACCCGAATTGAAGCGACCAGGAAGGGTTTATCAGATGTACTTCGTTCATCCTGTTCTGCACACTTACGAGTGGATGAGAGGAACTCGTAACCCAGAAGTTGTGGCAACTTTGCCCTGTTGGCCATGTTTACCTGAGCCAATTAATGTGGGTGAAATTAGAAAATGTGTGGATTATTGTGGATAACGATCTTTCCACCGAGACCCCATATCAACACAGATAAGAGGAGATTCACTGTATATACACGACTGTGTAATCATGGAAAAAAATCTCAGATGAATGGTTAAAAACACACACTACAGTTGATCGTCCAAGCCTCATGAAAGCAGATACATTATATTTGTTGTGCACAAGATATTGATAGCATCAACATCATAAAAAGGTGCACGTTTGAATATTTAATATCGTGTATCATTAAAGAAACGTGGTCAGGAAATAAACAAGAATGCTTATCCTCTAAATCAATTCGTGGATTACAAGTAACGCATTACAGAGGTAAGAGAGTAAAGACACGGCAAAATATTCGCGTTTACCTTTGACTGGTGGCAATCTGTGAATGCACAAAAATGAAAAACTCATCAGTTTGACAAAGGCAGGCGCAGCGGTGGCACAGAGAACAATGAACACTGCGGAATGAACTCGGCAACCCGATTTGGATTTCTGGTCATGGCTCTAACATCAGTGGTGAGTGACATTTGAATCAGTCCTGGTCCCCACTTCATCAACACACACAGACCAGCGTGGATAAGTATGGTCCGAATTATTTATACTGGAGGAATCCGATGAGCTATGAAGCTCTTTTTCACTGATGTCCAGTATAGGTGAGGGTAAGAATGTTACAACAACAAACAATACAAAAACACGATCGGAGTGCAGGTATATGAAAAGTAAGCAAATCACTTAAAAAAATATATACAATTTAAACATTTTTTTTCTCATCAGGTAAAGCCCATTGAGCTATTAACTTACTTTTCAGAAGCGAACTGGCCACAAATGATAGCTTAACAAAGTGGCGTATCACGTGGAAATTTATAGCAACAAAATAATCAACAACGTCCATGACGTCGTGGGAAGACTTTTATATCCAGATTGACAAAGGGCTCTAAATTACACATTCTTATTATGTAAGTACACAGTAATTAGAATAAAATCCTGATTAGCTGATCTAATCAACTTTTTCTCAAATTGATGGAAACTGATTGTTCCCCCCCCCCCCCCCAATTCAGGTCTGATGGAATCGGGTGGTATCAGATATAATTATACACAGCTATGTACCTTTACTGTTCATATCATCATCATCATTACCACTGTATTGAGGAACCAATATTCGATTGGTAAAACCTACCAAATGTAAGTAGCAGGCTATATATTTCTAATATTTTAGTTTTATCTTGTACAACAAGATTTTCCTAATTGTCCTATTTATTACATGTTATGGAATGTCATGAAATGAAGCACAGTTTAACATCCTCACCCCCTTGCCAAATAACTGCCCATAGAAGTGGATATTACAGAGCTACCTCTGATATCCCTTCACGTGACCACTGGTCCAAACATTAGGGGGCAGCACTCTCCCACCCGGCCTGCTACAAAGTGGTGTTCATCGTATGACAAACCAAAACAGTGTTTTCATTTTCACCTGGAATTTAGCTAAATTATGCAAATAATAAACTATCATATTGTGGTGCTATGTGCAGGCATTTTTTGGGCTGCGACTATTATCTCCATACATTTGAGAACCCAATTTTAAGCTAAGGCGGCTATCTGCCGGGATTCCAACCCAGGATCTGAGCTGTGTCAGCTCGGCTGTTTTTTAATTCCGTGCCATCTGGCCACCTCTCTGTGGTACACTGTAGGGTCCTGCATCAGGTCGGGTACTCGCAGGCGACCCACACACCCTTAGGTGTTTTGACAGCTTGCCGTATGGGTGCGGGTCGGACATGACGTGATGAACATGACCTGACATGCACCCAAACAGCAAGACGTAAACACAACTTAATTCTGACCTGCCTTGCGGATCGCTCCAGTATACTCTATATCAGAAAACGATGATGCAAACACTTTACTATTTAAAATGTATTGTGCTTATGCTACATGCGCAAATCGATATTTCTATTCGTATATATGTTGTAGGTAATTGGTTAATGTGACCCCTGCAGCCACTAGAGGTGTCCAATGATCGTCAATTCATAAAAACGAATTCATGAAATCGCAATGGGACAAATGATTGCAGACCTAGTAGGTATACACATCACATATGTGTGCACGTTACGCGCTTCACAATGCAGATGGGTAATGAGATGGAACACAGCACGAGTGAGAAATGCCTCCCTTTTCCACCGCATTGTCTGCCAATAAGTGGACACTCATCTGAGTAGATTTCACAATATTAGATTCATACCCGTACAGTTATAAACTGTAAAAAAATGCGAACTTGAAAAATGCTAACTTTTTAATTGCGAACTTGATTCCTTGGAAAAGGTTTCTATTTAGTGTTTGAATATCTTAACACCTGTTTTATCGCCAGAAAGGGTTAAATCTATGCTTATTTTTTCAAAGTAATAAACGGTGTTGCTCCTCACCTTTTACAAATAATTTGATAAGAATAACTTGGTGGAGGTGTGACTAGAAACGTGACATTAAACAAGATGCTCCGATTAGCACGGTTGGCTACGTGTGGTGCGAAATAAATTCAACATACATACATACAAACGAGTGCCAAGATGGTTCGTGACTGTCCCAATGTTATCTTGGGTTGAGGCCACAATGAGCGTGTTTACAGATGGTATGATTCTTGCCGGTAATCTGCCTGCGGCGCTGCTCACCTGGCGGGTTTATTCCGAGAGCTGCAGCACGATCGTAGGCAGCTTCGGAAGGCCTTGGACTTAAACAGGCGGTAGAGCAGGAAAGCGAGGAGGCCAGCCAGCAACAAGGAGCCCAGTGTGATCAGGAACGGCACGTACCACTCGCTCCAGTCGTAGGTGTTTACAGAGGTCCTCCTCAACACCACACCGGGCTTGTCCTGCCACGGACCACAGCAGAGCACGGTGAGATTTGCAGGCATGTGTGGCGAGTTGTATTAAATGCTCGATGTGCAGTTCGCGCTTCGTGACATTTCACAATGCAAACCCCCCCCCCCACTCCCACGGAAGGTGTTTTTTGTGGTCGGTAACTGGTCCTCAATTTCACTTTGAAACATAGTTCGTGTATTCGTTGTCTTGCTAACTGTGTTGTGCTGCTGAGTCACGTCATGAGGCGAGGGATCGTCCTTGTGAAAGTCCCCGCAGCAGAGCCTCGCATGACACCACGGAGTAGCCCAGACGACGCCAACTCAGAGATGGGTCTGGGCCTATGTCCATCGGCCTCTTTTACCTCAGGCTCGATGGCGCTCGTGTCATTATTTTTGTGATGATACATTAAGAATGTTTATACAAAGCTCGGAGAGCGTGACTTACGTTGAAAACTCATTTTATGTTAAGGGTTTTTGTGCGCAGTTACTAGTGACGAGACAGAAACCATGAAACCCATGACACTTAAGAACTTGGTCTAATCACGGGGCAGCTACTAGAGTGTTGCTGACTCAATGATCTAATTGGCATTATTGGACTCCTTACTTACCCGACCACTTTATTATGGTACCGAGTTGACATGTTGCCTTATATTCGTGTAATTTATTAAATCCCAATGTGACGCACGAGCAAGGTTGAACTGTTTAAAATAGGTGCAATTAGACATCTTTAACAACTTATATCGACGGAATAGAGGCCACAAAACCACACATTTACATCCACAAACAATACGGGGGCTTTGAGCCCATGAAATGTTTCCCTCTGCCTTTCAGACTGCAAGGTGTTGGGGACAAGACGTGATTCATGAAATCCTTCCTCCGGTTACGGTTCCAGTGACACGACACACGGCTGCGCACACGCCACTCACGGACAGCGCCGTGAGAGGTCTGGCAGTGGTGCCGGTCCTGACGACGGTGACGAGGATGATGGCCGTGCCGGTCTGGGCCGACACGTTGCGCTTGTTGTCGTCGATGACGTGCACCTCCAGCCGGAAGTTCTGCACCGTGTCCACCTGCCCCTTGTAATCGAACAAGCGCATGAGCAGCAGCCGTGGAGAATTGGAGCCGCGCGTCGGTGAAAAGCCAAAGTGGTTGTTGATGTTACCTGCGGACGCGCGCGCGCACAGCGGGGTTAGCGCATTTCGGGGTCGGTGCAGCTCGTGGAGTCCAACATCACAAACCGCTAGACAGAATGCCACGTAGCTGATGTCCCATGCACACATCTTAGTTGTTTAATGATTGCGAGTCTCAGGTACTGTTACAAAGTTATTTGTTATAATCTTTGCATTCTATGTACCTGAATAATTTACACCAATGTGTTACAACTTGGTTGGCTAATATTGAATCTCATGACTATGTTTATACTTTACTTTGAAACTTAATGGTTTGTGTTGGGGAGTAACTTTACCTGGTAAATGTTGTTTTGAGTAACTTTTCCAATTTTATGGCTACGAACGACTTTACCGCTATCAAAAAACACAGCTAATGTTGACTAGGCCCCTCACCGCTGGATATGTCGTATCGCAGCTCGTCCGCAGCAGAGTCGGCGTCAGTGCAAGTCAGAGCGAAGCCTTGGATGTTGGTTCCTACAGTCACCGCGTCCGTGAGGGTCAATCGAGCCAAGAGGGGATTGCAGACCGGGGGCTCGTCATTCTCTTCCACCACGATCACGGTCACCTGTAAACACCAGACGGCCAGGGCACGCACACATTGCTACTATTCATCACGCGTAGTCAGCGATGGACCGTTGCGCCAAACGTGTGACCCCTTGCGATTGCATTCGCATAAACTGCCCTTGCTGTCATACACTGGCCTGTTGAGTGATTTGTTTGAGCCACGGATCACGGGGGGGCGGGGGGGCGCCTACGGGGGGAGCAGCGCCAATCCCTTTGTGTGTCGCAGTCCTCTTCGAACGTCAACCAATGAAGTGCGCACACCTTACTACTAATTAACTATCTTTTATTTATTTTACAAGGTAAGGCCCACTGAGCTATATAGTTATTTTTCAGAAGAGGTCTGGCTACAAATGATAGTTAAACAACGTGGCTTATCATGTGGAAATGTATAGCAGCCAAATCCTCTAAATGCACGTTGATTCTAAATGTGGAGGGAAAACCGGAGGACCCAGAAAAAATGCCACGGGACCACGGGAAGAAGATGCAATCTTCAAATATACGGCACATGTGTCAGGGTTGTCATGGAACCCACGACCTCCTGTACACCAGGTGGGGCAGTTAACATCTCGCCAACCTCTATATTAACACCACACGTCCTTGCTGTGTCGCTCTTACTCATTCACAGCCACATTAATTCAGCATTTAACAATTACAGTTTGTGTCATTTTCATTGACTCGTAGTGCATTGGCACAGCGGTTCACACACCATACTACGAACTTGGTCGACTGGGTTCGATTGCTGGCAAATATCAGTGGCGAGGAATATCTGAACGGGTCCTGTTCCCCCCTTCACCAACCAGCACTGACCACTGTCACCAGGGCCGGATTAAGGCATGGGCTTTAGGGGCTGCAGCCCAAGGGCCTCCGCCAGCTGGAGGGCCTCCAGAGATTAAGTGAAAAGTTATTTCATTTGTGAATGCTGAATCTAGGTCAGGTTGGACAGGTTGGCTATGCCCACTTTGGTGTTTAAGAGACGATGTAGCTCGGTGATTCTCAACTTTTTTTTTTGGCTACTGTGTAACCCCTTGTTGAATTTTGTTTCAACCGAGTACCCCCCTTGCCTGACCCAACGTGGTTTTGAGAAATAAATGTATGAATAATGAACATCAATAGTTTAACCACTTCTATTTTTTGTGAGGTATATCCTAACGAGCTAGTCAGTGAAAGTGAATAAAAAATACATTCAATGGATGCTCTGCATGCAGGACCTAATTTGTACACGCTCACTGGTTACTCTTGGAAACCACATTGTTTACGATCAATGAAGTTAGAAAAGTCTTTCATATCGTTCTAGGTTAGCATGTGGATTGACATTTTATCATAATTTTATATTAGCAGATTCATATGTGATTATTCACCAATGGCTCTAGTGTATGATATAATTTCACACGTTTATAAACCACCTTACATACCCCCTGGGACATTGCCACATGTAACCCCCAGGGGTCCGCGTGCTCCCCGGTTAAGAACCACTGCTGTAGGCAACCATGCAACATGCATGGCTGTTGCCGTTGCTTCTCACTCTGCTTTGCTGGTGGTTTGGTGAGTGCTGCTCATTGGGGACTTCATAAGAGGTGAGTACGTACTCTACATCTGTGTATAAAGATTTCCTCTTTAAGTTTCTAACATGTGTAGGTTCTGAGGCATCTGCGTACATGTACTGTAAAGAGACCAGTAGTACAATAATGTGACAAGGAAAAACTATTGCACGGCTTGTGGAGCTACTGTGAGTACTGCATGTAAAGTACTGAAACTAGCAAGGTTACAGCACTGTTATCTATAGGGCAAAGCAACAAGCAGTAACTATATGAAGATATTTGTTATTATGTATAAAGTGAGGGGTTAAACTAAGTAAACCAGAACAAGAGCTTTAGAAAAGATATAACCATGAAGAGTGAAATTCCTATGCTGGCTGATTGTGTAACCCAGTGTTTTTCACAAATTTTCAGAGGGGGCACACTTTTACCGATAAGAATCCTAAGTGTGGGCGCCGCCACACATTTGAAACCATTGGGAGTTTGACAGCACGATGATGATGGGGGGTTGTTGTCACTGTTTGAGTATTGTCGGGGGCCGCACGTCAGGGGCCGCACTAAAGGCCACCAAGGGGCCGCCAGTGGCCCGCGGGTCTTGGAATGAAGAACCCTGCTGTGACCTAAAAGCTGTGCGCTGTGCCCGGCCGCGTGCATGGCCGTCTGCAGGCGAGGGGACCGGTTGCTGCAATGCCACCGCAAAGGGGAGACCCAAATCCAGACCTCGGACAGTGGAAAAAACCTGGCGCACTGGTGTCGCCTCAGAAGTTGACTGGAGTCGAGATTGCTGTTTTATCTTGAGAGATGACAGGAGTGACGTAGTGTTGTGTGTTACAGGGCTGTAATATTCTGTAAATGTGTCTTCGTGTTCCTTTGCCTTCTGCCCTAAAGTAGGCTCATGCCCGCGAAGGATGTCACGGTGGATAGATGTTAACTACCTCGCCTGCTATACAGAGGGTCGTGAATTCGATCCCAACCCTGACTCCTGTATATTTGGAGTTTGCATGTTCTCCCTGTGGTCATGTGGATTTTCCTCTGGGTCCTCCGGTTTTTCCCTCGATGTTTAAAATCAACATGTGTTTATTTGGCTGCTATGAATGTTCAAGTGATAAACCACTTTGTTGAGCTATCATTTGTGGCCAGGTCGCTTCTGAAAAAGAGGTATATAGCTCAGTGGGCCTTACCTGGTAAAATAAAAAATATATAGTAGTGGTAAATAGTTTAAATGCAGGTTTGCCCTTAACTCTCAAAGTGGTCGTTCTTTTGATCGGGGCAGTCACTCTTCATGTGCTACACCTCCACAAGCACTCCCAAAAACCAACCCCTCGTCCACGTTGTGGGAGGTGGTAACAGGAAAGTACAGGATTGCCAGATAGGGCGAAGTATAGGGGGTGGTTCGACCACCTGGGCCGCTTCGGTAACCATGAAAGCCTGTCTGGGCTCACCTGGAAACGCCCTGGCTAATGGGGCTCTGGTTAGCCACTTAGGCTAAGTTAGTAAACCCTAATAATGTCTCGAGTCGATACCAAGTGGCCACCGGCCCACCTCAATGGGGCGGATGAGATACGGTCCAGATGGCCAATGGCATATGGTGGAGGAGCCACTGGATGTCTAGTGCTCGAGGACATGCCTTCTAATCGTCTTGGTTTTCTACCTTGCCATTGGACCCAGGCTTGATTCCTGGTTAAGCCCCGTGCGGTAGCTGGTGTGCAACAGACACTGCACGTAAATTTATTAACGCACTGTTACCTTCCAGGGAAACTGTGCCATCGCACCACCACACTACATACCCAAAGCCCTTGGGTGATCGGCAAGTGGCGAGTGGGGCAGGCCTATGCAGCTAGAAGCTCATAGTCAGAACCCAGCACCAAGGCGGCAGCTATTAGAAGGTCGTCATGCACTTGGAATAGGCAGGAGTGCATCCTGGCAGCTGTAGCTGTGATTGAGCAGCCCACAAGGATCCACTCTGCTCACCACAAATGGGGAGGGGGCTAGAAAAGGTGCTCTAAACATAGCCTACCTAGCAACATCCTGTCCTACTTACCGAAACCAGAGGGAGTATCAATAATTGCGGTCGAAACAAAAATAAATGTAACCTAAACATTGGACCCTGGAATGTCAGGACCCTCACAGACAACCCAAAAATGCAACGTCCAGAGCTCTTGTGGCACGGGCTGAGACGATTTAATATCCATATTGCTGCCCTCAGCGAAACCAATCTCGCAGATGAAGGCCAACTGACCGCGCTAAGTGGAGGTTACACTCTTTGGTTCTTCTGTTCTTAAGTTTGCCTTTGGCAAAGTTTGCCTTTGGCAAACTTAAGAACAGGGTCTTTGAAGACCACGACATTACCACCAAGATCAAAGTGGCTGTGTATAATGCTGTGATCATTCCAACCCTCTTATATGGTGCAGAAACCTGGACCACCTATCGTAAACACGCAAAATCTCTCGAAATGTTTCAGCCATGCTGTCTCAGGAAAATAATAAACTTCACCTGGGAAGAAAGACAAACTAATATCAGTGTCCTGGAGCTATCCAATTCATCCAACATAGAGGCCATCATCATGAAGTATCAACTCAGATGGACAGGCCACCTTGTGAGGATGAATGACTCGAGGCTTCCTAAGCAAATCTTCTATTCCCAGCTCAGGGATGGATCACCAGCCCCTGGAGGGCAAAGGAAGCATTTTCATGACAACCTTAAAACGCACCTCAAGTGAAGCCACATAGAGCCAAACAACTGGGAAATATATGCTCTTGATAAACCATCATGGAGGGCCAAAATAAACAATGGAACTCAGAACTTTGAGGCCAAACAAAGAGAGTTGATCACCAGGAAAAGAGCACGCCACAAAGCACATACACCAGAGACAACGAGTGGGAGCTCCAGGATGGACCATCTCTGCCCCCACTGTGCCAAGATCTGTAGTTCACGGATTGGCCTACTCAGCCATCTCCGGACCCATGGCCAGCCAGTCCCCCTTCACAACACGGACAAGTGACACCTGGAGGGAAATCATACTCGACTACGAGGGATCCCAGAAGACACCCCCACATACAAGCTACGACTAAACCAGCGCATGACAACCGTCATGGTGAAGTATGGTCAAACAACCCCTAGAACCGACATGAATATATTAATACTGGGCTGTGAATCACTCATTGATACAGTTTAGACAAGATAGATCATCACACAAAACGTCTCCTTCACATATCTGTCCCCTCTACCTAAATAGAATATGTTTCTACACATCCTATCAGCCCCATGACAAACTGGGAGTGCATAATTTCAGCAGCATTGATTCAACTACAAGCAAACTCTAAGACCAGTTTCGATGTACAGTGTATCATCAGCAGTCATGCTTGCTGGAATTAATTCCAGTGAACCCATCTTGAAAAGCCCGATAATGCATTTTAAATGTGCTCTGATATAATTCATTGTCATCAAATAATCTTAATGATCCTGGTTCACTTTCATGACCACAAGCATCGTTTCTCCACCGTGTTTTCATTCACAAAAATTAACTCACCTTTAGACATCATCAGATTTATCAAAATGTCTTGCAACGCAAATATTCAAATAAAAGTAAATATCGTCATACTGTCTTTAGTTGTGGCAACATTTATACAATGAATATATATTAAATTGTAAAAAGCGATGTACATTGAAAGTGTACACCATTGCACTATCAAGTGACTATACCAATGGGAGACAGACACCAGATCAGTCGGTAGAAAGAATGCTCATTCGGAAAAGCCAAGGCATAGGCGTACCTGGTGAGGCCTTTACAGGTCACATTGTGCAAGGAGCTTGGCCTGGGGAATCTCAACGTGGGTTTTGTGTGCGTGTGGTGAACACGCGCCTTGTGGACGGTGCGGCGGTGGATTTGTGCTCACCGTTACTGTGGCTGTCTTGGGAAAAAACGGGTCCCCGTCCACTGCCTCCGCCACCAGCTCATAGCGCTGAACGAGCTCATAGTCCAGTTTGGTTATGGCTTTAATGTTACCCGTCGGTTCTATGAGGAAGCGGCCTACACCGGGTCCCCGCAGTCGGTACGTTATGTCGTTGAGAAGGAAGTCTTGGTCGGTGGCCTGCACCTTCCCCAGGATCGCTCCGGCTGATTGATGACAAATATAGGCAGTGTAGTCATCATTATCAGCTGTAATATCAATGCACTTCTGGATCAAGGCCTTCCCAAGCCATCACCATCTCTCACGATCGTACGAAATAAACAATCCATTTAGCACCTGCGAATGATCTGATTTTACCACTCCATCTCTGCAGAGGAGTTGAGGGAATTAGTTGTTCGAATGTTCCTCTTACCTTTCATGAAAGGGAACTGCTGCTTTATGAACATTTTACAGCCGAATAATTTCTCGATTTGTAATAAATATTTCCACTGCTTGTCTCGTAACTGTTCAAAACACAGTGATGCATCGCGCAGTGATCCAGGGAATACTCACCAGATGCGGTTTCGGCGATAACAAATTGGTACGTAGTGCTATTGAACTGTGGAGTGAACTCATTCACGGGGATGATGCGCAGGTACACTGTGACCGTAGCTGTGGCAGACACAACAACACTGTCAATTTATTTTCAGCAACTCAACATCCAGTGTTTTATCAGTGAAACAACGACAATTGTTTCACTACGTGAAAATGTTTACTAATGTAACAAAGTACAGGAGAAATGTTTGTTGTATATTTTAAATTATTGTTAGTACCTGGTTCGGTAATTAGGATTCATTATCTACATTGTCACATTAACACACCTATGCAGTTTATGGTCGACAAAATCCTACATAGTTAACAATAATTAGTTTTGGATTTTGTTAAGACTAATTGCATACATTTAGTCCATAAATAAATTGTCCCTTATTTCTCTGGGACTATATGGTACATACTCTTTGGTTTTTTCGGTAAAGTCACATAGGTAATAAGTAAATAAATGAAAAACAACTAAATTAAATCATGACGTTTCGGAGGCAACACAAGCTTCCGTCTTCAGGTGGAACCGTTACAGCCAAAATCACTGTAGTAAGTGAACGTGTCTTCAATAAAGTGCTAATCTCAAGAGAAGTGTGTCAAGTCGTCATTACACTTGTAAATAGGGCCTTTCTCGTAAGGATTATGGCCTTTTGGGCCTGTGGTCGGCAAATGTGATTTAAAATAAATACACCATTGGGTGAAGAATTGCCCATGCCTTATCGGACATTGTAGTTGTTTGACCATACTCCACCGCACTGGGTATTGCAGGTGGCTAAAGAGGGCCTGAAACCAGTTCAGAAATCACTTGTTACTGATTGTAGCCATGTCCGGGAAGCAAACTCGGGAAGCAGGTTCATGGCAAAGGGAACTACTTTGCGACCACTCCAACACAAATGAAATATCCGTACAGGAATTAAATTTTGTCTGCTATAGAATGCTTGGATGGAAAAGCCTCATGTATTTACAATTACTGGGCCAAATCATTTTCACAGGTCTATTGGTTACCCATGCTCACTACAAATTCAATAACATGTCAGAATCATAATCAAATTCTTTATTTAAACTGCAGGAGGGATTCGAAGAGCTATGAAGCTCTTTTCACAGATGTTCAGTATGGGAGAGTCTTTTTGACATATGTCCACTATGGGAGAGTCAGCAAGTTATAACGACAAACAATACAAAAAAAAGGACACGAGTGCAAAATAGAGAAAATGGTTAAGTCACTATATATGAATAAACAATACCTAAGTATCTTCTTGGTTCCTTCGGTAAAGTCACGTAGAAGGGAAGTAATAAAATAATAAAAATAAAACATAATAAAATAATTCTCACGACGTTTCGGCCACAACACAAGCAGCCGTCCTCAGGTGAAGACCAGTTCTGTCGAGGCGACAGCGTCTAAATGAAACACCACCACGCTTGGAGCGTCTATTTAAGCTGGGTTGGAAGGGGGGGGGGGGAAATGCGCCTTGACAAAATAATCTGCATATCAAGAGGAATTTAGCATATTTATGGGAAATGCAGGAATGCGAATAGTGCTAATTTGTGAAATGCGTCGGAGGTGGGCGGGGGGTTTTCAAAGTCATATTATGCCTATGCATTCTGCAGGATTAGCAGCATCAAAGGGAGGGGGTAGGGGTGGCATTAATAAAGGGAAGGAATGCTAATAGTATGTAGCTGCAGTAACTAAACAACATAATGCATAGGCATAATATGACTTTGAAAACCCCCCGCCCACCTCCTACGCATTTCACAAATTAGCACTATTCGCATTCCTGCATTTTCCATAAATATGCTAAATTCCTCTTGATATGCAGATTATTTTGTCAAGGCGCATTTCCCCCCCCTTCCAACCCAGCTTAAATAGACGCTCCAAGCGTGGTGGTGTTTCATTTAGACGCTGTCGCCTCGACAGAACTGGTCTTCACCTGAGGACGGCTGCTTGTGTTGTAGCCGAAACGTCGTGAGAATTATTTTATTATGTTTTATTTTTATTATTTTATTACTTCCCTTCTACGTGACTTTTCCGAAAGAACCAAGAAGATGAATCCCTGCAGTCACGAAAGCTTTAAATCGAAATTTAATACATAAGTACGATTTATCAAGCTTGGGCAAGACATTCACAGATAATGTGACCAAGGTTTGCCAACGGAACCTGCCAATGACAATGCACCGGTAGTTAAGTAGGTCCACCTGTCTGTCACCGACGCGTTAAGTTCACCTTCCCCATCCCACAGTTCCCACGCAGTACGTCGGTAGCCCTGCAGGGGGCTCCGTGCACTCAGCGGCCCCCTGCTGAGCGACGTCGAGCGGGAGCAAGCGGGGGAGCGATGCTGCGGCAAGCCTGCGATGTTACTCACCTCTGAGAAAGGGGGTTGCTGTGTTTGTGGCCACCACAGTCAGCAAGTAAGTGTAGCCATTGAACAGATTCACCAGGTTCTCATAATCAAAGGTACCTGTTCTCAGCTGTGAAAAGTAAAAAATTAATGTGGATGCTATGTGCAAACCGCGTGTTACATTCGTTTACAGACAGAATTAGGTTGTTGCACGCAGCTGAGATCTGGAAATACGTAAACTTTATAACCAAGCAAGAGACCATTGAGAAATCGTTCCAAGACCTGGGTTAACGATGGGAATAAGTGCGACCCAACCCTGCATAAATGAACCCCTCCAGAACCTCTGTCAAGTGGTTATCCCCAGTGTGCCCCCGGCGCAGCTCGGTTTGTATAGTGGAAAAGAGGAATTAACCACTCTGTGCATCCCGGCCCTGCATGAGTGTAGTTTAGAGGACCGTGTTCAGGGGAGCAATAGTATGGTGGTTAGCGCTCTACGCTACTAACCCGGCGCTGTATGTGTATTATATTAGGACATATGTGGCTCTTTCTGTAGACCCTGTACGAGAGCACGGACGTGCGGTGTAGTTCAATTTATCAGGATAACATTTTAAAATATTGTGCTCCATCGGTATAAGTTGCTTCGATGGGGCGCATATTAGTTTGCAAAACATTTGCCTTTGAATTGACAACTGTAATATAGGTGTGATTGAAATTGTTAATATTGTTCTATGAAACTAGGGAATCATATATTGCTATGTGATAAATGTCCTGCCTATTGATCAAATTGTAAATGGATCATTTTTTATTTATTTTAGTATTGAAGTCAGGATATAGTAGAGCCATTATAGAACAAATAATGGGATTTAAAAAAATATATAATTAACAACCTGTGCATTTTATATAATGGCGTTATACATAGCAATTAATTGCATCTCAGCCATTAGGAATCGAGGTGGATCGTTACGTGAGATCACCACAATCATACGCCTCGTCGAGTGAGTGTGCGGTTCTGACCTCAATCGCGCCAGTTGCATTAATCGCGAGGTTGCTGGCAGCAGAGCCTACGTTGGTCATTGAAAAGCTGAAGGCTTGGTTAACCGCAGTAAAGTCAATGTCTGTGCAAATGACATTTGTCAACACGCTGATTGGAGCTTGATTTTCATTAATATCTATCCTGCAGGAACAATGATAAGGTTTTGTGGAAAATACATCATCAATGACAAAGTCGATTGTAAAAACAGTACCTCCGGTCACAAGAGGGTTTTGCCAGAGTGTTTTTGTTATCACATTTTCAACAAGCATGTATGCATGTATTTGTTTGCATTGTAGGTACGTGTTTGATGCCCATATAGAGGCTGGAAAGGGCGTATAGTTAACTATTGAGCACATAACAAACTTGGTGGCATTGATCAAGCAAATGTAAAAACATTCAAAATTCTGATTTTCTTTTTGCAATGATATTTGGTTCTTTTTTGTTTACAAAAACTGCAAAACAGTGTGTCAACATAATGTTTTCCAGCCTCGAGCGCGAAGAAATGTGTGCATAAATTTTTATATTGATTACTCATAAAATCACCGTGTACTCAGTCGAGACTTGTCCACTTGGGAACTCCTTCAATGAGCAGAGCCTCAAAAGTCCAGATCAACACTGCTTCTGGTGTCTCTTCGCTAAAGCGTTTCTTATTCTAAACTAGATGGTATCTCTTTCATGAGGCCGAAGACATTGTGCTGCTCAGGCAGACATGCTCACTTAGTCACCACGTATACGCTGCTTCTCAGGAATTACCCATAGAGTATTCTATCTGCTGATGCTGTACTTTGAAATACGTGTTTACTGGGAAATTGGTTTCAGTAGTGAGGTTATTGATTGCATGTGTGTAACGTTACAAACCCAGCGGCCCAAGTTCGATTCCCGCTCATGGCCAACACCAGTGACGATTATCTGAACCGGTCCTGGGCCTCCCCTAGGTCGACTCAGCCTCAAATGAGTACCTGATGCGGTGTGTAAACATCACTACTGGGGAGACAAAGGCGGGGCGGGCGTGGTATTGGCCACCCACCCCTCGTGTGCTGTGCCGGCTTTCATAGGTGCTCGCTAACAGCACTTGCCCCAACAGTATGTTTATGATAGACGGGGGATCTTTGTATTTGCTATTTTTGTAATTATAAAAATGTACAGATTGCACCTCTGTGACTGACAAATACTTATATTTCAAGTGTGCCGCCTTACACAATGGACAGATAAAGCAGCTGCGCATTCAAGTATTGTTTTTTTTCAAAAGCCTGCTCTGTAGTTTTAACCATTCATCCATGATGCACTTGAAAGCTGCAGAACCAATTCTTGGGACCAGGACTCGTTAGTGAAATATGGTGGTCGCATCCTTAAATGCAGTAAGGGTGTGCGAGTGTAAGTGGGCTATACTGGTAATTATCTTCACATTGTTTTACCCAGTGCTGTACTGGGTATCTGTATATATATAAACAGTTTGTTTGTCTCTAAGGATCTACAAAACATACTACCCATATTATAAATAGATTGTTGATAATCCACGGTGGTCCCAGTGGTTAAATGTTCCGTGCAGGTGGAGCGTACGAGTAAGGGGCGACGCAGACAGGCGGGTTGTCGTTGATGTCGGTCACTTTGACCGTTAGCGTTGAGATGTCGCACTTATTCCCATCGTCACACACTTTGATGGTAAACAGCAATGAAGGTGGGCAGTTGCCCTCCAGGTTCATCCTCTTGGACAGCATCACTTCCCCTGTTGCTGTAGCCAGACATTCATGTCAGGGCAGGGAATACGCAGATGTCCAAGGGAAAGAGATGTAGATCAGTCATCTGATAGTGAGGGGACAATCATTATCAGATCATTGTTAATTGAGGTCACAGTGGACCAGTGAGCAGTGAATATGCAACATGCAGTGGATTGATATTCGGCATAATTCAGTTTGATCATTACTGTGTAACAACATTTTTTTTGTTCCTGGGTAGTAAGTGTTATTTCCTAATTGCTTATGCCTCAAAAGAACAGAAAATGGCTATTATTCCCCACAAACTTTGCTTTTGTGACCAGGACAGTGATATTTTGAAATGTACCTATTTTCAATGAGAAAACGTGTGCATTAGTGTCATTCCTTCACATTAAGTCCTGGTCACAAAAGCAAAGTTTGTGGGGAATAATAAAAAAAATTCTATACTTTTGAGGCATAAGCAATTAGAAAATAGCACTTACTACCCAGGAACAAAAATCGTGTTACATCTCCACTTGATACGTAAAAACCTTAAATTATTACCCTAGATGTATATATTCCGCTGTGTTTTCCATTTGCCTCTGAATTTATTTTATTATATTATATCGTTTATCAAACTTTAACATGACTTGTTTAGCTCACGTTTATCCTAACCTTTTTTAAGTTCTCCGATTCGTTCCTACAGAATATTTTAATTGTTTGCAATAATAACTGTTTCCCGTAAATGTAAATAGACTCTTGACTTACGTGTATACATTTGTGTATTTAATCCAATTACAGACCCATTAGCCTCCTACCGCATGCATACAATTGTTCCCGATGATTGGAGGAAACCAAGGGACATTTTAGAGGCCAGCCAACCATGTTCAGCAAGATGTATCACTTCCTAGAGAAGATCCCAGAAAGTAAATGATGATTATTAACTACCGTTATAAATGGCGTTTATAGACCTATGGAAATGTCTTTTATCAGTGGAAACGGATGCAGTCACCCCCAGCTCTGACGAGCCAAGACCTTGACAACAACACATATCTAGAAATTGTCACAACTATTTAGAAGGAACTGCTGCACAGAGATTGCACTAAGCTAGGACAGGAATAAACAATTGAGCTCGTTTACTCTCGGATGTTATATAAAAGCCCATTAAATAATCACTCTCTATGGCATTGCACTTGGTTAAATAAAGCGCACGAAGCAATGATACGTGGACATGGGATGTCATAGTTAATATATTTTAAGAATGAATTAAATTCAATTGGGTTAAACGTACAGTAAACATAAAGCACATCAAGAAACATTGCACCCGAGTGGGGTGTCATTGTTAAATATAGAAGGAAGACAGTGAAACCCGGCTCGTCGGACGAGTGGGGAGAAGGCCTGGTCCGGTGAGCTGAAAAGTCCATCTGGCTGCTACAACAACGATATAAGCCCCTCTAAATTATGAACACAAATAATGTATACGAACACATGAACTAAACTAAACCATCGTTACAAACACATGCGAAATGTGTCGAAATAAAAAAAGTCAATACATGTTACTCATTGAATCTCAATGGGCCCTCACCGGGGTTAAAGTGAAACAGTTAATGATTTGCAATGATGATAGTGTGGCACCCTCCACTTCTATAGCTGTGATAATTTGATGGAGATAATGAGTGGTTCCTGGTATCGGCAAATCCTCCCCCACCCCCCATTATGGCTACGTAACGTGCGAAAGAAATGCAACCAGGAGCGGTGTAAGGAGTTTGGGAGGGGGGGCTTGGCTCAACCCCTGGTGGCCAAAGCTACGAGTTGGAGGGCCCCCTTGACAACCACCACGAGATATATTTTGAACAACGGTGTCAAAGAACTAAAACTTATTTAAAAGGCAGTTTAAATTATTTTTTTACGAAAATATTTTTTATTTACGTTCCACGTTTTATTTTAAGTTAATCAGAGCGTTAACGTTTGGCTTCCACAAATTTGCGCTTCGCGCATTTGTTTTTACATTGTCGCCATCAGACTGTAACCAGGTAGACAAGCAGAGCTGTCGTGGCTGCATTTTGACCGAAGATGGAGCGCCTCTACAGCATTATAATGTTCGAGACCGCGAACGAAATGCTATGATTTGACATGAGAAGCCTCAATATACAGGGTGCTTAAAAAAACGTTAACACTTGTATGGGACTATCATTTGCACTGGAAAAAAGAACGGATAATACACTTTAACATGATAACAAAGGTATGCTAATTGCTAATAGTTGCAATAAGTCAAAGAGTCGCCACTTGTTCGCCATCATTGTCAACACATGTCTGGAATATTCTCTAGGTGGTCTCCAGAGCCCGGAGGCACATTTCTTGTGGTATTGTTGCATATTCTCGGAAGTGTTAAAATGTATTTGAAGCACCCTGCATAATGGCCTAGGTGCGACCGTGCGAGACAAAACAAATATTGGGGCCTCACCTGAGCGATTGCCACACCGCCCGAGCTGATAATGTCGTCACGACGCCACTAAATTCGACATACATACATTATCCATGGCATGTTGTGGATAAAGAGGAGTCTTACCTGGAAGTTGTGGTAGCTTCATTGTATTATTCACGTATGATTGTGGGTGTCCGCACGAAAAACGGGAGTTATTTTTGTGGATAAATGTGGAAAATACAATGTGCGAATAGTGCCCTCCCATATACACGTGTATGAGAGGAGTCATGGGTTCTTACCTGGTTAAATGAAGATGGGAATGAGCACCCAGATTGTTCACGTGAGTGTACACATTGCACCACGACTGGATTAGAAGATTCTAGGCATCCCCTGTCTTATTTTATTTTATTTCTACCTACGTGACTTTACCCAAATAAACAAAGAGTAGAGTATCCCCTGTCTTGTTATTTACATAAAATCTACGTATGTGGTAACAGTTTTCGATATTTTCTTGGAGTGACTTTAGTATAACTTAAAAAAAAACTCAATAAAAATTAGAACCACGCTGTTTTACGTGGAAAACTTCTGCATAGATTTAATTAAAATATTATAAAGTCGTATAAATTGGCAAATAATAACAATACGATCGTAGAATCGTAGGTTTAAGCGTGAAATACAAGATTTCTAAATTGAAGAATATGCAGATAAGCGTCAGCTTTCCCTCACTACTGTATGGGGTATTAATTACCATCTGTTTACATGGATACTTAACCTTTCTTAAAACCATCATCATCCTCAACCATTGTCAATCCAGTGCTGGATAAAGGTCTATCCAAGCCACCGCCGGCTCTCATGATTGCGCAATCTAATATACCAGCGAGCGCTCAAACTGATTTCATTGCTCCATCTCTACTGTGCACCTCCTTGCAGACGCGTTTCATTTCTTGGCTGCCATTCTATTAATATCTCAATAATTTAAATGATGGTCCCCCTAATTCACGCGCGCCTCTTGCTGTCTCTCAGTGTAATTCTAAGCATGCACCACTTAATGCTCTTTGCACACTTTTCATTTCTGTGTTTTTACACGCTTTTACAGGTAGGAACAACAGTTCCACACTGCCCACCAGGGATTATTTGTCTGTCGTGCATAGCCCCTCCCAAACATGTACGCTCCCGGATTGGTTGAAGTGCGTCACGTGACCGCGAGCTTTCTGTCGTGCACGAATGCGCTGTCCAACCAAGTTCCTACCTACCCACTCCAAAGGAACGTGTTTTATTAACTCACTCTGTTTCGGCTTGGCTCTAATTGTCCATGGTAAACTCACGTTGGCTATCATTGACCACGGCCCCTTACGTTATGGCAAGCTTCAGGGCCACTTCCTGGAGTCGTGGAGTTTTTCCATTACTAGGGCGGTACATTTCATTAAAGTGTGTTTTAAAAAAAGTTTTTTTTTAAATATTACTTATTTCATTCATGACCGTGTTTGGTCTTAGATGACAAAATCATAATTATTGCATTTTATTTTTGCATTACATTAATTTTTCTGTTAAATGCATAGAATCTCTTAGAATAAAAAATATATGCACATCGCTATTGTTTTGCTCCAACACAGCTATAGCAACTCTAATAATAACATTTAAAACAATTGAATTACATTTACAATCTTTAAATAATATATTTGCGGTATCGCGACATTATAAATGTGATTGTCGCACCTCCAATTAGCACGGTTGGCTATGTAAGTACGAAAGAAGGTTAACATACGTACGAAATCATGATTGATTCATTATATTCATTTTTATATGGTCACCAATTTAATTAGTAATGTGGGATGCATGCGCAGGTGAATGTGTAGGGGTGTTAGAGAGAGGGCCGTTATGTATGGCAGTCTATGGGAAAGAAACACAGTGGGCGGGGCTACGTGTGTGCACAGGGAGATGCCCTCTGCGACGTCCGAGCCAGACACCCTGGGGGGGGCTGGTTTGGCGTTATGATCCCCCGGGGCCCCACCCCTCAAGGAGGGTTGGGTATAAAAGGGGACGTTATATGGGCTCGAGGGAGTTATGTTATAGTTAACTAAGAAGGCTGAAGACGTCTTAGATAGAGCCCTGGACTCCCCTCGTTCGATGTCCTTATCAGGGCGGAACAGGACTGAGCCAGCGGCGTGGTCCCGAAAGCCAGAGCCGGTGCTCTTCTAAGAGCTGGTCTGGGACTCCGGGTACCGGCCCGACTTACCAGTGTCGGGCCAAGTAGCCTCCCCTAGCCCAGTAGTGGAGGACTGTAAGGCAGGCTAGGACTTAGCTAGGAAGTGTACCCTTAGCTAGTCGGGTGAGGGGGCCGATACCCCCTCCAGTGCTGTATGTCACATACGAGCTGTGTTGAATAAATATCCGTGTGCCTCCACCTCGGCGTCAAGTGTCTTCACCGGTACTTCAACTGGTGTCAGAAGTAAAACTCGAACATGGACACGCGGAAGACAGCGCAGCCCAAAGTACCGAAAGAGGAAGATACTGCCGAGATCGTCTAGCCCGAGACGGCTACACAAGCCATGGTGCAGCCGGGGCCTGATGTCTCCTTACCGGGGCATCTGAGTGAGGAAGGACCACGGCCGGACGCGTTGCGGCTGGCTCACGGGAGGCTGGCGGGGCTGCTGTGTGCCGCTGCCGCCGCGCTGGAGACCGTCGCGCGGCTGGGGGCCGGTGGTTCAACACGGGCTGAGGCGGGCCGGCGACCAGGGCGCCTTCCCGCCATTTCGGAGCGGCCCGAGTTTGAAACTCCCGCCATCGACGCTGCAGCTGTTCGGGGCGTGGCCAGCCTACACATCCACTCCGGCATCGCCGTCGCTGAGGCTGCGACGTCATCACCACCGCGACAGGCGATCCCATCGGCCGCTCGCACCGACGCACAGCCGAGAGGAGGTGACATCTGCCCGCAGGAATCTACACCAACCGCTGCGCTCCATCAGAGGCTGCGGGCCCGGGCTGCTCGCCATCGACGGCGAGTTGGAACGACGTCGCCCGTCAACTCGACCAGCTGCTGGTGGCAAGGGAGTGGCCGGGTGTTGGTGAGTGATGGCGAAATTGGCTGTGGCGTTCGCGCCGTTTCGGCGGCGTCGGCGTTCCCGCCATTTGCACCATGCCGGCGTTTCACGCCACTTCAACGTGCCGGCGTTCCCGCCTTTTGCGCCTTGTGTGCTTTGCGCCTTGTGTGCCGGCCTTGTGGGCCTTGTGTGCCGGCCTGGCGGCGTACCACTGCAGCCCTGTGATTACGGGCCTCCCTCCCCCCATTGAAGTAAGAAGAGAGGGGGAGGGCATCGGTGGTGAGAGCGAGAGGGGTCCGTGATTGAAGAGAGGGTTCCGACTATGGAGACACTGCTGGGAGGAACTTTTTCAGTTTGACTCTCCGGTTTTGTGTTCCTCGCGGACGGTTTTTCCCTCTGTTCTTTTTGCATTTTGCCTTGTGCGAGTGTTATTTGGTTAATGTTGAAGGGGATTTTGAAATTACAGGTTCGGGTTGGTTCAAACCCACTGGTTGGTTCCTGTCCGTTGTTGCACAGAGGATGTCTTTTGTGCGGGAATGCTCCTCGTGTTCTACATGGATCGGGGGTGCGTTTCCGTTAATTGCGTTGCTCTCTCCACTCGGTTGGTACAGCTGCATTGCTGCAATGCGAGTCTCGGAGATGAGGGGTACGGATACGGGATGTGAGGTGTATGTGTTGTGATGGTAGGATGTCTTTTGTGCGGGAATGCTCCTTGTGTTCTACATGGATCGGGGGTGCGTTTCCGTTAATTGCGTCGCTCTCTCCACTCGGTTGGTACAGCTGCATTGCTGCAATGCGAGTCTCGGAGATGAGGGGTACGGATACGGGATGTGAGGTGCATGTGATGTGATGGTGTTAAATTGCGATGGTGACATGCTGCCAGGGATTTGGAATTGTTGTGCTGGCTGTCACTTATCTTGGGGCGCAGATCCTGACCAGGATGGCCCTGTGAGTGTTGCGTGTTTAACATGAGCGTTGTGGTCCCGTCATGCATTGGCTGACGGCTTGACCTGACAGCCCGGAGATTAAAACACTCCGTGGTATGTCTAGCCTAGTGGGCTGTGTGCTCACATGGCTCAGAGAGTGTGGTCCCGTCAGGCTGTGTCTGACGGCTTGACCTGACAGCCCGGAGATTAGAAAACTCCGTGGTATGTCTAGCCTAGTGGGCTGTGTGCTCACGTGGCTCAGGGAGTGTGGTCCCGTCATGCTGTGTCTGACGGCTTGACCTGACAGCCCCGGAGATTAAAACACTCCGTGGTATGTCTAGCCTAGTGGGCTGTGTGCTCACATGGCTCAGAGAGTGTGGTCCCGTCAGGCTGTGTCTGACGGCTTGACCTGACAGCCCGGAGATTAAAACACTCCGTGGTATGTCCAGCCTTGTGGGCTGTGCGCTCACATGGCTCAGGGAGGGTGGTCCCGTCATGCTATGGCTGACGGCTTGACCTGACAGCCCGGAGATTAAAACACTCCGTGGTATGTCTAGCCTAGTGGGCTGTGTGCTCACATGGCTCAGGGAGTGTGGTCCCGTCATGCTGTGTCTGACGGCTTGACCTGACAGCCCGGAGATTAAAACACTCCGTGGTATGTCTAGCCTAGTGGGCTGTGTGCTCACATGGCTCAGGGAGTGTGGTCCCGTCATGCTGTGTCTGACGGCTTGACCTGACGGCTCGGAGGTTGAGACCCTCTGAGGCGCGTTGAAACAGTGAGCTAGAGATTCGTAAAGTTCGAGTGGGTTAGCCAGTTTTCATGTATATAGGTTGTGTTCATTGTGTGTTGTGTGTATGGTGGGTTTCCTGCAAATTGTATATAGCTTGTTTTTTTACGGAATTCGTATCTATTCAAGGGGGGGGTGCGTCGGGTTGTTTTCTCTTCTTGCTGTTGCATTTTTTTTGTGTTCTTGTTGCCGTTCTTGTTGTTGTTGAAAATTAGTGAGGCACACGCGCGGTTACGGTAAAAATTCATTTTTATTGTCATTCTGTATGTTGGCAGCCGGGACGGCTGCGAGCTATGCAGGGGGGAGTGATGTAGGGGTGTTAGAGAGAGGGCCGTTATGTATGGCAGTCTATGGGAAAGAAACACAGTGGGCGGGGCTACGTGTGTGCACAGGGAGATGCCCTCTGCGACGTCCGAGCCAGACACCCTTGGGGGGGCTGGTTTGGCGTTATGATCCCCCGGGGCCCCACCCCTCAAGGAGGGTTGGGTATAAAAGGGGACGTTATATGGGCTCGAGGGAGTTATGTTATAGTTAACTAAGAAGGCTGAAGACGTCTTAGATAGAGCCCTGGACTCCCCTCGTTCGATGTCCTTATCAGGGCCGAACAGGACTGAGCCAGCGGCGTGGTCCCGAAAGCCAGAGCCGGTGCTCTTCTAAGAGCTGGTCTGGGACTCCGGGTACCGGCCCGACTTACCAGTGTCGGGCCAAGTAGCCTCCCCTAGCCCAGTAGTGGAGGACTGTAAGGCAGGCTAGGACTTAGCTAGGAAGTGTACCCTTAGCTAGTCGGGTGAGGGGGCCGATACCCCCTCCAGTGCTGTATGTCACATACGAGCTGTGTTGAATAAATATCCGTGTGCCTCCACCTCGGCGTCAAGTGTCTTCACCGGTACTTCAAATGCAACGGCTGTGAGCAGCATACCTGCGTCCACACTTAGGTATCCAGTGGCTGTATCAATGGAGAAGGTGAGAAGGCCCAAGTTGTCGACATCTGTTGCCGAGAGTGTGGTGATGAGCGTGCTCAGGGCGAGCTCCTCTGGGATGGTCACGTTGTGGGCTACGACACTGTCAGAAACAAGCCATGAGAATCAACAAATCCCTCCAGCCGCTACACAGGCACATCACGTAAGTCCACTGCCACATGAAGGCCTCCCCACACCGTGCAGGTCTTGGGGGTTATTTAACCGCAACGGACATTCATCGGGCCGGTCAGTGCGGGTTGATGAAGATGAGAAGCTTGGATGTGGGAGCAGTGAATGGCAGTACAATTGTTTTTTTCTGCACTGCCCTCGACTGCCAAGTAGCCGTGCAGCCGACAACAATCTGCAGCGCACGGTATAGCCACCCAGGCAGTATCCAGGCTCGAGCCTAATTAGCGTCTGAGATCTCACGACGTGAGCTGCATTCTGGGTGAATATAATGCGCGCAACAGTAAATTGAGTCACTTTGTTAAAACAAATATTGTAATAATTTTTATTCTATTCATGCGCCGATGCACATTCTTATCAGAATTTACAAAAAACATAAATACATTTTTCATTAATGGTTCGCCACCGGTGATGCATGCCAACGATAATATCACTGCTTAGACTTTGGTATTAATTGGGCTATACGATAATTTAATGTTGTTTGATACTTACTTGGTGAAGGAGGGTGAATTGTCATTAATGTTCTCTATGAAAATGAGCACGGTTCCATTCACTGAGAGACCTCTTCCATCTGACACGATAATGTTTAGTGTATAGCTGAGTAATAAAAAAAACATAGCATGATTATGAAACTAACATGCTTTGATTTGAATATACATCAAAATCAGAAATGCATAACCTAAATTTATGGTGTCGAGGCTGCAGCCTTTGGAGAAATCTAAATGTGCTGCTGAAACACGTCTTGGGCATACCTAAGAGTATTTAGAGTCTAAGTCTAATCTATAGTCTTTCCTGTTGTTTCAAAATGCACAGTTAAAGGGAAGGGCTGATGTGGACATGGATTGTACAATGAGCTTGCATGCAGCAGCTCTGCGCTTAGCTGAAATGAGGTCACGTGAAACGATTCCCAAGTTTGATAGCCGTTTCTGCAACTCATGGAGATTTTCATAATGAACATTGTTTCATCTGGACCAGTAATTTCTCAACACCATTTTTTTTTATCACACAGTGGAGCGCAACATTTTTTGAGAGCTGTCCGCGGGTCCAAAAGTGTTGGGGAGCACTGGTCTAAAAGTGAATACAAGCGATTTGTTTTCACGTAATAAGCACACACCTTCAACAAATGAAGTAATTCGATTGTTCTTTATTTTTAATCTGAAGTGGACAGCAACTGCGCACCGAGAGCGAGGTGTCGGGGTTCAGGTGAGACGAGAAGGTGGGGCGGAACGGTCAGGTTGTGAAGCGATTCTGCCTAAACGGGGTTTGTTTTTGCTGAGGATTTGGGGCCTGAGTTGGGAGAGAAAGGGCTGGAAATGTTAAAGGACTTTTACGATTGGTTAACGCTCAGTGTGCTCCTTCGAGCATTCTGTGCGCACATTCGGACACATTTAGGTGTGTGATGGGGTAATTCCTGTAATTACGTTATTTACTGAAAAAAACATTGCTTCTTGAGCCAGGTATGAAACCCATATCCTTTTCTTGTAAAGCAAGGTCCCCGTGTGCAATTCCTTGGCTACGGTTGCCGCTTAACATATGAATATTTAGGTGCCAATGCCGCTGGATGGCGTCCAAACCATCAACGCAGTGCCAGCAACCGAGGGACCGGCAGTGTCCACGGGCTACTCAAACAGAACAGAATGGTGCCAAGACAACTTGGGTGAGTTTTTTTTGTGTAGAAGTTACTTGGCATGACGGCATGTTACAACAGGCCACCATTTCCTCCAATTTGATTCGCCAGTGAACTTACAAATATTGGATCATGTAAAAAAACACATTTCACTTGTCTGGCGTAATCATAATAAGGAAGTGATTCAGGTGTTGAGTGAAGTGAACAAAAACACCGTGTTATTAAAACACTGATTGTCTTGATAGTGAGGTGAAATTAAATATCCTATTGAAATGCTGGAGTGATACTATACATTATTAAAAGAAAAGTACAGTATTGCTTGCTGGATTCATACCTGCCTGGCTAGATTCCTGGCCCATGGGTAAATGCACTTCCACAGTGGTGATGCTACCTTGCATAGCTGCGTAATGACGTCACCCGCATCTCACAGCGTTGAGCTGGGTTCATGGTTCACGTCATACTATCCTATATTAGACAAAAGTTTTGCCTGCCTGCTGGCTGCCCAGAAGGATGGAATTGGACGTGCGGGTTACTATTTTATATCTATATATTTAAAAACATGTAATGAGGGGTTCGGGAGCCATTGAAGCAATGTACAGTGAATACATAGAGAACACATTTGAGAAGCCTGGCTGGTAATAATTATTTGAGCCAATCATAATTATAAGCAGCATGTTTCAGTTGTTGTCCTTCCTGGCACCTCAGATTAGCATGTGCGGCTACGTACGGTGCGAAAGAAGTTTAACATACATACAGTTAAGTGCTAAGATCGATATAGAGTATTGTAGTATAATTGTCACTATTGTAGTAAGTATATATGGAGGCTTGACGACAGGATCGGAGGCACACTTATTTATTACACCAACACAGTTGTACAGGTCACTTGGCTACAGGGATTTCTCGACAGCTAACCCCTCTAACCTATACCAACTCCTCCACTACGGGACTAGGGGAGGCTATCTGTCCCAGCTTGGTTAAGCTGGGATCCCGGCTCCCTGAGTCACCAGACCAGCTTCGTCTGGGCTCTCGGGGCCACACCACCGGCTTGCCCTGGTCGGCCCTTAGAAGGACAGCGAGCCAGGGGAGCTCCGGGGCCTATACTAGCAGGTCTTCGTTCTTCTCTGGTTAAAGCTGAGTCCCGACTCCCGAGCCTTTCGGCTCATCACCTTTTATAGGACTTGCCCCCAAGGGGGGGCCCGTGGGGGATGTACATGCGGACGTCGGTGCGAGCGCCACCCCTGTGTACGGCCGTAACCCCGCCCTTTGTGTTTGTTGGCCATCCGTGGCCATGCATAATCACACGACACCTTTCGTAGCCATGCGCAATTACACCTCTACATCACCCCCCCCTGTACAGCTCGCAGCCGTCCCTGGCTGCAAAAAAACCTGAATAAAGGTGTATCCCTCACAAACCCCCGTGTGTGTGCCTCGCGTAAATTATTTCTAACAAGAACAAGAGAACCTTAACAGAACAACAAGAGGAAGAGAGAGAGAGAGAGAGGAAAAAAAATATCCCGACGCGCCCTCCCTGAATAAGCACCCCAAAACCAACATATATATACACTCCGGACGCCACCCCTCCCATTGTCCGCAAGGCCCCCCAACGGCCGACCTCACAACACCCTTTCCATTGTCCGCAAGGCCCCCCAACGGCCGACCTCACAACACCCTCTCCATTGCCCGCAAGGCCCCCCAACGGCCGACCTCACAACAGTCTGCGCGTTTTGGCGCGCGTTCTCGCGGCGGGCCCGTCACAAGGGCCCGTCCTGGCACGCTCAGTGAAGGTTGTTGACGGTCCGGGTGCCAGAGAGTCAGGCGTCGCTGCCGAGTGACCCCCGACCCCACCGGGAGGGGTTGGTGGGCGTGGGCCCGTCACTCCTGTTTCACCTGGGGACGGAACAGTTGGCGTCAGGTTAGGCGAGTGCAGCGACGACGGGGAGTCGGCGACACCCTCACACGTTTGGCCATGCGTGTGTGTGTGTGAACCACGGGGCGGCGCGACAAATGGTTTTAACCTTGAGGGGTGCACATACCACCGGCGCCTCCCCCATTTGACGCGAACACATTGCGGCCGCAAAACCTGCACGACCTCCACTGGCCCCCGCCACGGCCGTACCAATTTCGACGAGGTTGCCAGCGGCACCTGAGGACAGTGCAACCACGCCCTGTCCCCTGGTTCCCATTTGACCACCTGCACCCGCCCCAACCGAAGCCTCTCGTTCGCCTTCTGGCGGAGTTCAGAATTTTGCACGGCCGCTTCCCGCGCCTCAGACAATTGAGCGATGTTAAATTTAACGTGTTCGGACAAATTAGACTTCGCCGGGAGCGCCGAGAGCTTCAGCTGGGTCGCCACAGGGGGGTTAACTTCGCGCCCATACATTAAAAAGAAAGGGGAAAATCCGGTGGCCGCATGAGGAGCCATTCTGTAGGCCTGCAACACACCGGCTATGCGGAGGTCCCAATCCGTCTGGGATACCGACACCTGCTGGGACAGCATGGACGTGATGGTCCGATGCAGCCGTTCCACCATCCCGTCAGTTTGTGGGTGATACGGAGAGGTCCGAACCTTCTCCGTACCCAAGAGGTCGCACACCTCACGTAGGAGTTTACCAGAAAAATTCCTACCCTGGTCAGTAAGCAGCCGTTCCGGAGCACCCTTGTCGAGGACATAGCCCTGGACAAAGGCCTCCGCGATGGCTGCTGCCGACTGGTTCGCCAGGGGCCAGGCCATAGGCCATCTCGTGAAGTATTCAACCCCCGTTAGTAAATACCTATTGCCCCTGGGCGTAGCGGGAAATGGGCCAAGTATGTCCAGAGCGACGAGCTCGTTAACCCGGGAAACTTTTATGGACTGCAGCGGAGGGTTGGACCCCCTAGCAGGTGGCTTCCTCTGCGCGCATTGCGTGCATGACCCCAAGAGATCCCCCACGTCCTTTTCCATGCCCGGCCAGAAGAAATCTAGCTGGAGTGTGGCAAAGGTCTTATGAACCCCCAAGTGCAGAAGCCGCTCATGAACAGCCCATACCACCTTACCCCTTAAAGCAGCAGGCACCACGAGCCGCTGGCGCCGGGTTTTACCATCCCAGTGCATTAAAAGTCCCTGGAACAACCCCCACGAGTCAACGTTTTCCACCCCCTGGCCAACCCCCCCGGCGCGACGGCGCAGAGCGAGGAGGGAGGTGTCCTCCATTTGGAGGCGACCCCATTCCGCGACCGACAACCCCAGCAACGAATCCCTCCCTTCTTGCTCAATAGGACCCGAAACCGAAGGTGCATCGGCAGCGGCCACGAGGACCGACTCGGTGGTGACGTTCGGAGGCCTACAACGCCCCGAACCCAAGAGGCACGCGCACTCTGAAGTGGGTGGCAATCGCGACAGGGCGTCAGCGTTCGTGTGGCGGAGACCCTTACGATATGTGGTGACAAAGTCATAGTCTTGGAGAATCTCCAACCATCGAGACAACTGGCCCGATGGTTGTTGAACCCGCAGGGTGTATTGTAGGGCCGCATGATCTGTACGGACGGTGAACCGCCGACCGTACAGATACGGGCGGTACTGCTGAATGAAATAAACAATCGCCAATAATTCCCGACGGGTAACGCAGTACCGCTGTTCGGCTGGAGACAGTACCCGACTACCGTAAGCCACCACATGCTCTACGCCCCCAATGAGCTGGGACAGCACGCCCCCGATGCCCGTGTTACTTGCATCTGTATCGAGCAAGAAGGGTTGTGAAAAATCCGGGTAATTCAACGGCGGAGCTCCCACCAAAGCATTTCTGAGGGCGCGAAAAGCAGCCTCCTCCTCCGGCCCCCAATGAAACCTGACTCCCTTGGACGTCAAGGCATGCAATGGTTTCGCAATCGTAGCGAAGTCAGCCACAAATCGCCGATAATACGACGCGAACCCAATGAAACTCCTGACCTCTCCCACAGAGGTGGGAGTCGGCCAGGAGCTGACGCATTCCGTTTTGGCGGGATCAGTGGATATCCCCGAGCGCCCAACAATGTGACCCAAATATTGCACCGATTCGCGGAGTAAATGGCACTTCTGTGGTTTAAATTTCAAATTGGCAGCCCGCATTTTGAGAAAAACAGCACGCAACCTCTGGAGGTGTTCCTCGAAGGATTTGCTAAAGACGATGACATCGTCTAAGTAAATCAAACACGAATCCCATTGCAAACCTGCCAAGACCAATTCCATTAACCGCTGAAAAGTTGCCGGCGCAGAATGTAAACCCATCGGCAAGCGGTTAAATTGGAAGAGGCCCTGCGGTGTACGAAAAGCAGTCTTAGGTTTCGATTCGTCATCCAGAGGAAGCTGCCAGAATCCAGATAGCAAATCAAGGGTGGAAAAGAATCGCGCACCGGCCAAGGCGTCGAGCGACTCATCCATCCGAGGAAGCGGGTACGCATCTGCCACAGAGATTTTGTTGAGACGCCGAAAGTCAACACAAAATCTCAGTGAGCCGTCGTGTTTTTTCACCAAAACGATCGGCGCGCCCCACGGGCTGTTGGAAGGGGAAATGATATCGGCGGCTAGCATGTCATCAACAGCCGATTTGACATGATCCTTTTCGGCGGGACTCAACCGAAAGGGATTTTGGCGGATTGGCGCGCTGTCACCCGTGTCAATATGGTGTCGCAGCAATTTTGTACAACCAATATCAAATTTGTGTTGACTAAAAACGTCAGCAAATTCGCTCAGGAGAACTCGCAGCTGCGCGCGCTGCGAGTCAGACAGGTCCACTGAACCCGCGCAAAGCGCATCCAGCCATTCGTCATCACAGTCCGAATGCGGTCGCGACGGAGGATCGGTGGATACCTGACCCACGAGTGGTTCCTCATAGGGCACCGGCGTTGCGTGTGCAAGCACGGTCCCTTGAGGAACCACGGCCGTTCGCGATCCCACATTAAGGACTGCAATGAAGGGGTCCCCATCCCCTCTCACCATAGTCTGAGCCGCGAGCAAATCGGGTCCATTGACCCCGGCCCGAGATGGACCCAACAAGACCCCCCGATCCGCAACCCCTGCATCAAACGGCCGACGCAACCTAAGAGGGACGAGCATCTGAGCCCCCGGAGGCACGCGCACAGTTTTTGTGACGAGCGCCTGCACGGTGGCAAACGCCCGACGCTCCGTGGTGGGGGAAGACAGAAATGTAACGCGTCGGCCCGATGGGAGCTCAATGCACCCTTGGTCAATAAGGATACGGATGGGCATTTTGGCCAGAAAATCCGTCCCCAACAGGCACGGAACCGCGAGTGAGGAGGAAACCAAAACAGGGCCGGATAATTTAATGTCCCCAATGCAGATAGTGGCGCGGATTTGGCCAATAATGCCCAGAGAGCCCCCGTTAGCGGCATAGCACGGCACGTCAACAGGGAGCAAGGGACGACTTTGAACGGGAAGGATGTTATAAATTAAATCAGATATAATGGTCGCCGATGCCCCTGTGTCAATTAAAATCCGCACCTCTACCCCATCAATGTGACCGACCACGACCGATGATCCCGCCGACGCGGCAACGACACGATGGGCGAGCTCCGACCACTGACCCGGTTGGAGCGCTCGCCGCATTACCGAACAATCGCGCGCGACGGACGGGGAATTTGGAGCCCTGTTTAGTTGAGCGCGTGAGTGTGTGTCGGATGTGTGCGTGGGCCAAACGTGTGAGGTGCCGCGACTCGCCGTATTTCTCTGCTGGAGCTTGGGAGGAGACGGCGTGGTGTCCTGACGAGGTGTCGCCCCGCGCTGACGGGGAGCCCGGCATCCTGACGCAACGTGGCCTTGCAGGCCACAGTTGTAGCAGCGTGTGAGCGCCCCAGATGACCTGGGCTGCTCCTGGCGGCTCGGTCCATTCCGAGCCTGCGGTGCCGCCGATCTCCATTCCCCTCGCCGCTCCACCCCGCAGACCTCCTCCGATGGGAGGGCGGTGGTCGCCATGGCATGGCCGGCCGCCCCCTTTGCCGCCTTCCGACGCAGGGACCGCAAGCCCCCGTGGATGTGGCGCGCGACCAGCAGGGACGACATCTCCGCGTCGTCCTGAGCCAGGACGTTGACGTCCAGCTCGTCAGCGAGTAGCAGCAGCTTCTCAGCCACCATGGCATCCACTCCATCCTCGTCCATCCTTGGGAAAGCAGCCTTCGCCAGAGCCAGGAGAGCCGTCCGGAAGGCCAGGGGTGACTCGTTGGCGCCCCGACTCCGATCGTGGAACAGCTGCCTGCAGTCCGAAGGCGGCCCATAGACGGCTGACAGCAGCTGCAACGCCAGGTGTAGAGTGGCGCGCTTTTCCCTCGGCGCCGAGGTGAGGGTAGCCAGGGCGTCGTTGTCCAGCATCGCTGGCAGCGCGCGTAGAGCCTCGGCGTCCGACCAGTTCGCCATCTCTTGATGAGCGATGAACCGCCTCTTGAAGCCGCCCCAGTCTCCGTCAGCGCCGACAAATTCTTTAAGAGGCGGCAGACGCTGTTGTAAGGCGGCGTCCGTGGCCGCAGAACGCTCTCCGTCGCTCCCCGCCGATGATACAGTGTGGGCGGGCCGTGCACATGGCATCGCCGGTCGCTCTGATGTTGACGCGCCGGCCGGCGTTGATGATGTCACGGCTTGTGCTTGGCGCTCAGCAGACACGTGACGCGGGCCGGCCCCGCCCTCCGCTCGTACTGTAGAGATGGCGGGAAATTTGACCGCGAGCCGCGTCGGGGTGGCGGGAAACGTCGCCCCGCGCCAGCTGCCGTCGTCGACCCGCGCTGCTCCTCCAGCCCCCAGCCGCGTGATCTCCTCCAACGCGGCGGCCGCGGCGTAGAGCAGGTCCGCCAGGCGAGAGTGGGCCAGCCGGAGTCCTTCGGCCGACGCATCCCCCTCCTCCTGTCGTAGCGGCGCGGGCGTACTCGGCCCCGGCTGCTCCGATTCGACCCCGGCCATCACTGGTGGAGATTCGGCCGCGGCGTCTTCCATCTCCGACTCCCTGGTACGTGTCGTCCCTCGTGTGTCCATCGTTGGACGTTTACTTCTGACCCCAGATGTAGTAAGTATATATGGAGGCTTGACGACAGGATCGGAGGCACACTTATTTATTACACCAACACAGTTGTACAGGTCACTTGGCTACAGGGATTTCTCGACAGCTAACCCCTCTAACCTATACCAACTCCTCCACTACGGGACTAGGGGAGGCTATCTGTCCCAGCTTGGTTAAGCTGGGATCCCGGCTCCCTGAGTCACCAGACCAGCTTCGTCTGGGCTCTCGGGGCCACGCCACCGGCTTGCCCTGGTCGGCCCTTAGAAGGACAGCGAGCCAGGGGAGCTCCGGGGCCTATACTAGCAGGTCTTCGTTCTTCTCTGGTTAAAGCTGAGTCCCGACTCCCGAGCCTTTCGGCTCATCACCTTTTATAGGACTTGCCCCCAAGGGGGGGCCCGTGGGGGATGTACATGCGGACGTCGGTGCGAGCGCCACCCCTGTGTACGGCCGTAACCCCGCCCTTTGTGTTTGTTGGCCATCCGTGGCCATGCATAATCACACGACACCTTTCGTAGCCATGCGCAATTACACCTCTACACTATGATGATATCGTAATCAATACGTGTTTTGTAAGTTGCTTTCCATTTTGAAAGGGTATCTCAAAGTGCATTACAACTGCAAGGAACAGTATACAATGATGTTTGTCCCCATAGGAAAGTGGCAATGCCAAAAAACAGATTAAATGTAAATGTGTTGCAATAGGTTATTAACTTAATATGTTTATTCGTATAACAGTGATTGAAGAGATGAGGAACATATGATTTACTTTGTGAAGTCAATTTCATAGTTAAATGATTTCTTCGTCGTAAGTCCTCCAAGAGAAGTAATATCAAAATCTGTGTTGGGTGAACAAAGAAACTGAAAGCGAACAACACACACACACAGAAAAAAAACACATTTTAAAAACGATCAACAACAAAATGACTTTGAAAATTATACAGAACATCTGTATTATATGTGGAAGTAACCACCCCTCTGGGATGGTGACATGGCGTAGTGGTAGCTCTTACCGTGCATACATCATTGTCTGGATCCCACACCAGCACTTGGTACAACACGTAAATGTTAGAGTTTTCAGGAACGTATAATGTCAGTGCTAGACAGGAGGTGTTGAAACACAAACATTGGAAACAAACGTTAATTTCCTGCAAGATCATACTCTTATTAGCTATGACAGAGCCTACACCAGGGGGTTGGCAACCAAGATTACAAGAAGAGAATTTTTTTCAAATTTTATACAAAAATAGACCTCAATATTTCAATAGCTGCAATGCACGTGGTGAATACGTGACAGTGGTTCTTAATAAATAACGTCACGAAGCAGTCCTTAAAAAAGCCACATGCGGTTCTGGAGCAGCAAGTTTGCCAATCCCTGGCCAACAGTAAATACATTTCAATATTTCATAACAAGGACGGCCCTTTGTCAGACCCCACTAATCAATGTGCCTGCACGATCTTCCACGTAGCCCTTGTAGGCTCTCTATATACCACAAGGCGGTGGAGGTGGGCGAGGGAGAGGGAGGCAGCATGTGGTGCTCCGAACCCATCAATCTTAGTTCGATTTCATGCATGTTTGAGTGCCATTCTTTTTATGCATGGGATTTATATTGGTACTCCAAGGCCGCCGATTTAAGCAAAAGGTTTGGCGTTTTTTAAAGCACGTTAATTGTGTACCAATTTTTTAAATGAACCGTAACTTGCCTTGCACAATTTTTTACAAGAAAAATATATTATTTACGCAATTTTTTTAACAAAATTCCCTTTGCTGTGATTATGGGTACATGTGGTAAAAGGGTTTTATCCGAGAGCTGAAGTCGCTGGGATTGTCGAGTCTGCCAATGGGTTTGCTTGACCAATGCGCCGTGAGCAATTGGGTAACGTCTCAAACGGGAGCCTCTTGAAAATGTGTTGAATTTTTTTTATTGATAAAGAACATTATTATTGTATCAAGACCTTTACTTAACTCCGATCTAAACATAAATCATGTCATTTTTTTTTTATTAAGTAAATGGACGTATTGGCGGTAGACCGGTGCAGCATAACAACACACCGGTCCTCATCAAACAGTCCGACGACGTCGCTCTTGCCCTTGAGTGAGCTATAGACTCTCCATTAGAAGTTGCACTTATATTCAGCAGCTGCTTTCCCATTTGAACGTGTGACATGAGTCGAAATCTTTTGATTCCACCGTCCTCATTTCCGTCAAGTGCAATACGTTCAAGTGTCCGCCACAGAAATGCACTCCTGTGTTTGCATTACACTGTGACGAGTGCGGATGCCATGACTTACTTTGCAAACCAAGAGAATCCAGAAACTCTGGGGCCTCATTTACGTCCGTAATGTTGACGGTGAGAACATCCATCACATAAATTCCATTGATGTCGGTCACGTAAATGGGCAGTGTGTAAAAGCTTTGACTCTCATAGTCCAGCACAGGGCTGTTGGACGACACGGCCACCTGCACTCACCCAAACACAGAGAAAATACTTTTATAATTAGAATTTCACTAACGCTGAATATTCATTTCTACAGCTAAGTGGTCAGTGTTTATCAGAGGCATCGTGGGCATTGAAGGTAAAACTTGGGGTAATGTGTTTTATTTACCTGTAAAAGTCTCACTTGGTATCAAGACTCTTTATTTAGGAGGGTCCCTCTTTGGAAAGTTTGAAAAATTCCATTAATGTTTATTTGGTACGTGGGAAGAAACTGGATAACCCAGACCCCCCCCCCCCAAACATTTCAAGAAGTGATGCTTAGTGCCATCTTCTAGGCGCCTCACAGCCACATGCTCTGTTAGTCACCCATCCTCGCACTGACCATGCTAAACCCTGCGCAGCTTCCAAGATTCAATTAGATCAGATACATTTTGAGCAGTGTTTTTCAAACTCGTGTGCCCCACGGACCACTCAGCCGATGCAACCATTTCCGCGGACCACCCAGCCAGCCCCCACCCCTGGTGACAAAAGACATTCACTTATCCCTCTTAAATGCCACTCATACAACATGATTCATTCTTAGTTTCTTTCGGTGAAGTCACGTAGAGAGAAAAATAAATTAAATGACAGCATACGACGTTTCGATTGCAACACAAGCAATCATCATCAGCTACAAATGAAAGAGAAAACAAACCTAGTATACTTAGAAATATAATGCAATACAACACAGAGAGTCGGCTAACATTAAAGTCAACACCCTACTGGTTGATTACGTTCTTACAATGATTGCTAAATTTGAGAGGGACAAAACACAGACACGGAGACACATAGACAGACACATAAGCAGAGAGAGATAACAGAGACACAGAGAGAGAGAGAGACACATAGGCACACAGAGACACAACGCCTCTGTGTCGAGGCCTTAAATAGAGAGAGAGGGGGGCAGAGAGAGGGGGGTAGAGAAATTAGCATGTCAATTAGAGATTTGGAGCTTTCGTAACTGCAGGAAATACTACAACACGAGAACACAGAGAGAGAAAACACACTTAATCAAATAAACTTAGCAAAATTTGGAAAGTAATGCAATGCAACACAGAGAGTCGGTCAACACACAATTAACGCATAGCCTGGTTGATTACGTTCACCCAAAGATTGCTAAATTAGAAGTTAAGTGTGAAATTTTGAGGGAGAGACAAGACACAGACACGGAGACACAACAACAACAACCGCCATTTGCCACTAAGTGGCGGTGACGTCACCACGACGCTTGTGCAAGGCCATGTGCACCTTGAGGCCACGTGAAGTGTTGAACGCCCCCTGGCAGGAGGTCACGGGGCAGACCCAGGTGCCACGGGTCGACTGACTGAGATGACTGAGATGACGGGCTGATGCAGCACCTGTGCCCCCTACTGTGCCAACTTGCTGTGCTTTAGCCACCCGGCGCTCCAATCATTGTTGTGAGCGTTGCTCCTCCGCCCTCTGTTGTTGTTGGAGGGCGACTGCCTCCAACTGCCCAGTAGCGTCCTTCACGAGCCTCCTCCACTGAGGCCGATCTTGACACCGCGGGTACCAGTCATCAGCAAGTCCACTCAGCTACACGTCCTCCTGTACCACATCACTCCATCTCTTCTCTAGCCCGTGCTGTGCCCATTCAGCCCCCTTGATACAGCCGAAAAAAAGCTGTTTAGGTATGCGGTGTCTGGGCATGCGGGCTACATGACCCAGCCAAGCAGCCTTGCCTGCCAGAGGAGCTCACCGATGGGACTTTGCCTAGATCTTTCAAGGATTTGTGAGCTCCTCACACAATCCAGCCTGGTTAAACCCAGGATGGATCGTAGGCAGGCCATCCTAAATGTTTCTAACCGGCGAAGATGCTCCATTAGGGGGGTCCACGTTTCGCAAGCGTAGAGAAAGGAGGGAATGACTGTGGCCGAGAAGACCTGAAGCTTCGTGTGGAGCGACAGACCAGGTAGCTTCCACACAGCGTTATGCAACCAATGAAAAGATATTGCCACTCGACTTATTCGGAGTGAGATCTCCACTGCCAAACCGGAGCCGGTCATGAGCACACTGCCCAGGTATGGGAAACTCTCCACCCTCTCCACAAGTGCCCCATCACCGATTCGGAGTTGTGGGGGTGGAGTGTCCGATGGTACAAAATACCCAGGCAGGTGCTTAGTTTTGGTGGGGCTGATGGTAAGGCCCCACCTCTTAGTGGCACACTCAAGTTTCAGCAGAAGCATCTCTAACTCCTCCTCTGAATGAACAGCAATTACCAAATCATCGGAATACATAACGTGGTTGACCAATAGGGAGCCATCCCTTGACCGCACCCGGGCATTGATCAGCCTCCCATTATATCTGTACCAAATGGAAATTCCCCCGGTACAGCTATTGAAGGCTTCACGAACTACGTGGTCAAAATAGATGTTAAATAATTTTGGGAGCCAGAGGACATCCCTGTCACACCACAAGGTATACAGGGAATGGCTCTGACTCCTGGCCACATCGTTTTACCCGGGCCCGCTCACCTTCATGAAGGTCCTTAATGATCATGAGCAGAGGGTCAGGGACTCCGAAAGCACGAAGAACAACCCAGAGCCCAGGCCTACTGATGGTATCATAGGCCTTGACACAGGTCAATAAAGCAGAGGTGTAGGTCTTGTTGGAATTCCCTACATCTCTGCTGTAGCAGACAGACAGTAAATATGGCATCTGTGCAAGACCGCCCTTTCCTGAAACCGCATTGGGGCTTCGCAAGCCTCTCCTCAGCGTGACTAGCAAGGCAATATTGAATAATCCTTGCCAGGACCTTTCCCGACACACTGAGGAGTGAGATGCCCCTGTAGTTGTTACAGTCTGTGCGGTCCCTCTTCTTAAAGAGGGGGACTCCCAGGGCATCCTTCCAATCCTGCGGAACCCGTCCAGTGGTCCAGACTGTTGTTATGATGTCATGTAGGGCAGTCTGTGCACAAACGCCACCCTCCCTCAGCATTTCGCTTGGGAGATCATCTCCTCCCGGTGCCTTTCCTGGTCTCAGACTCTAGATCGCCTTCAGTACTTCCTCAACAGATGGCACCTCAGCCAGCCACTCACAGGGGGTTACTTCTTCCAATATTTGAGGCACCGCAGCCTCAGCAGGGTCATCCCCACTTTGTGCCACGATGTTTTCCTGGCTGAGGGATTTCCCCTCCCCCAGGACCTCACAGAAATGCTCAGCAAATCTGCAAACCTGTTCCTGGGAGTCGGAGATTGGCTCACCGTTTTCCCCTATTGATGGTAATAGGTGTGGTGCTGCATGTTACTTTTTTGATGGAGTTAAATAAGGATTTGTGATCGTGGGCCACTGAGGCAGACTCCATCTCCTCAGCAACCCGCGACCACCACCCATCCTTGCAGCGCCTCACGGCTCTCCGAACCTCCGAGCGAAGGCTGCGGTAAGCCTCCTCATTCTCTGACGTGGGATGATGTAGACAATTAGAGTGGGCCTGTCGCTTTTTTTCAACCATCCTGAACACCTCCTCTGTCAACCACGGTCTCCGGGGAGGTCTGGACCGCATACCCAAAGCAGCCATTGCAGCTGCATGAGTCACAGTCCTAAACCTCGCCCATTTACCCTCGACATCAGGAGGAGTGGGGGACGATGCCAACCCCAGCCGCAAACAATGATTCAATTCTTGCTCGCAACTTTAATCAGCTGAGACCAGGCCACCTTAGGTTGGAATGGGGTCTTGGGTGTACACCCACCACCGGAGTGGAAGAATGCCAGGCGCATCTTACAGATGACTAGTCGATGGTCAGAGGGCAGATCAGCTCCACGGTAGGTCTTGGTGTCAAGGACATGGGCTCGCATCCGCTGATCCGTCACTATGTAGTCCAGCAGATGTTCTTGCTTGGACCCGGCATGCATCCATGATGTTGTGTGGATGCGCCGATACCAAAACAGCATGTTGGTAATTACAAGCCCATGGGCTGCACAAAATCTAGCAGCCTCCTACCGTTATTATTGAGCTGATCTGGCCCATGCCTTCCAATCACTCCAGACCAGGTACCAGCATCATGACCAACTCGAGCATTGAAGTTACCCTACAAGATGACTCTATCCCAAGGGGCCACTTTAGCCAGCACCTGTGACAGGAGGTCATAGAAGGCATCTGACTCAACAGCCTTGCCTGCATCCCTCCACGCATGTTTGTTTTTGGTGGGGGCATAAGTAATCACGACCACCACTCCTCGCCTCCGGTTGATGGGAAGGCGAGCCCAAAGTAGCCTGGGGCTTACAGCTTCCCACACCTCACCGCCACGCTCCCACGCCCCCTTCATTCTTTTGTTCAGAAGGACTGTCCACCCCTCATGGTGACAGGAGCCAGAGCCGGTCCACCGGACCTCCTGAATGCCACGGAGATCCAGGCGGTACCGGTCCAGCTCCCGACAGAGGAGTGGCAGCCTCTCCTCCGCAGTGAGCATTCGAACATTTCACATGGCCATCGGTAGTGGCTTGTTGTTGTTTCTGGAGGAGCCCTGAGGGTGAAGATTCAATCTCCTGGCTCTGCCAGATGGGGTTTGGTCAGGAGACGTCGTAGACGCCTGGCCCCCCGGGGCCTCCGGCACAAGCTTATTAGTTAGATATTTTAGTCGTGGTTTAGTGGTAATTTATTGAAGGTGGAGGGGTTACCAGCCCCTCTCACCCATCCAGAGCCCCCATTTAGCCACCGTGGTGGTCACAGATGCCATGAGGGGAAAGGCCAATCGGAATTGGCCCTCCCCCCCACAGCACTGTCCACGACAGTGTTGCCCGTCCGGCACCGCGAGGATGTAGGGGGTTGTTTGTGTGTCTGTCTTTGTGTCTCAGTGTCTGTGTTTTGTCTCTCTCTCTCAAATGTCACAATTAACTTCTAATTTAGCAATCTTTGGAAGAACGTAATCAACCAGGCGATGCATTAATTGTGTGTTGACCGACTCTCTGTGTTGCATTGCATTTCCAAATTTTACTGAGTTTGTTTTTATTAAGTGTGTTTTCTCTCTCTCTGTGTCGCTGTTGTCTCTCTAGTATTTCCTGCAGTTTGTTTTCTCTCTCTCTCTCTCTTTGCATGTGTGTCTGTCTTTGTGTCTCCATGTCTGTGTCTTGTCTCTCTCTAAAAATGTCACACTTAACTTCTAATTTAGCAATCTTTGGATGAACGTAATCAACCAGGCTATGCGGTAATTGTGTTGACTGACTCTCTGTGTTGCATTGCATTACTTTCCAAATTTTGCTAAGTTTCTTTGATTAAGTGTGTTTTCTCTCTTTCTGTGTGTCCTCGTGTTGTAGTATTTCCTGCCGTCACGAAAGCTCCAAATCTCTCATTGACATGCTAATTTCTCTATAACCCCTCTCTCTCTGCCCCCCTCTCTCTCTATTTCAAGCCTCGACACAGAGGCGTTGTTTCTCTATATGCCTATGTGTGTGTCTCTCTTTGTGTGTCTCTGTGTTTTCTCTCTTTGCGTATGTGTCTATGTCTCCGTGTCTGTGTTTTGTCTTTCTATCAAATTTAGCAATCTTTGAAAAAACGTAATCGACGAGGTAGGGTGTTGACTCTTATGTTCGCCGACTCTCTGTGTTGTATTGCATTATATTTATAAATTTACTAGGTTTGTTTTCTATTTCATTTTTACCTGGTGATGATTGCTTGTGTTGCAATCAAAACGTCGTATGCTATTATTTAATTTATTTTTCTTTCTACGTGACTTTACTGAAAGAACCCAAGAATAATTCCTGCAGTTACGAAAGCTCCAAATCAAACACGATTCATATTACCGAAACATAATAATAATTTATTTTTAAACGCAGTTATACTTTTTTAAAGGCGGTTCGGGTAGTTTAGTCAGGGTAGTTTACCTTACTTCATTTTAAATGTTAAATATCACAAGTGAAATATTAACTACTGTTCGAAACAAAAGTATCTAAATTGCAGAGGTGTGGACTCGAGTCATGTGACTTGGACTCGAGTCAGACTCGAGTCATGAATTTGATGACTTCAGACTCGACTTGGACTTGCATAACAATGACTTTGTCCCACCTCTGAGGTGTGGACTCGAGTCATGTGACTTGGACTCGAGTCAGACTCGAGTCATGAATTTGATGACTTCAGACTCGACTTGGACTTGCATAACAATGACTTTGTCCCACCTCTGCTAAATTGTCAACATTTCCTGCATTTGCATCACAGCCCCGCGGGCCACCTGGAGGAGCGCCGTGGGCCGCCAGTGGTCCGGGGACTGCAATCTGCCAGTCGCTGATTTAGGGTGATGTGGTTATAGGCAATATGCATGCAACCGCTGCATACATACAATTTATCCTTCCCTTGTTCAAAACGTCACTTATTTCCATATTATTTTCCTTCTAGGGCAGCGTTATTGACAAATGTGTGGAGCTTCTGTTATTTGCGCTTTGGCTGTGTACCTCTGCCAATGCAGTATCGCACAACACACATTTATGATGTGTAAATATAGTCTGAAATGTGCACAACACGCATTTTCTCTAAATCTTTCTATGATGCTCGCATCCTTAAAGACAAATGTACAAACTGGCAGACGATTAAAAACAATTAGAATGTCTTACCTTGTATGTATAGGAAAAGGGAGCGGGGGTTATTGAGCCAATGGGAATTATTTGAAACGGATGGCTGGCGGGATTAGGGTTAAAGAAGATAGGACCCGCAATCGAGAGTATGTTTGTTGATCTAACTGTGAAAGTATATACAGTGGCCGACGGTGCGGAATTCTCTTGCAGAGTAACAATCTTTGGCAAACTCGACCCAAAGGTAAGTATGCCGTCTCCCTCTGTGTGTGTGCACAGGAAAAGAGAGCATTAGCAGACATTCACAAGTGAAGACTCCAATGAACACGATTATTCATTACACATGACATTGTTACAGCAGTGGCAGGATGGGCAACACTTAGACTGACAGTGCCGTCTCTTAAAATGTTGTTGATGTTGTCAACTAATCACATTGGTTCTGGCTCACTGCTGCAAACTGTCGTTTTACCTTTTATGTTACCCCATTTATTAATTTTACTACATTTTTGTCTCTTGCTGGGCCTAGTTCAGAAGAAACTAAATCAACCACTGTCTTGGGTATCCCATTTTCATTCACTTAATTGGCATGTATTGATATTATTTTGAAAATTATAAATTTTACAAGTTCTGCTTTTAAATCTCTGATTGTGTTAAATACGTTAAATGTTTTTTTTTATGCACACTGGAATTTTGGACTGCAGTATTTTGGTGCCCAAAACTATGATCAAGCTTTTTTATATATATATAAAAAAAAACTCGTGCTCTAACATTTAGATCAAAATAATCCGTAAATGTAATGTTTCTTCTCAAGAATCTCTGTTTTTCAACAGCTGATAACAAAAAAAAACTACCGTTAGCCATTTAAAATAATCAAAAACCTACCCTCGTAAGTAACGGCAATCATTGTACAGTCCAGAAACACTTTATATTGCTCAGTTAACAATACAGGGTATCGTAAAACTACTCATAAAATAGTACATACTAAAGGTATATGCAATGTATTTTTTTACACTGCCATCATGAGAATCATCATCAGTGGTGCCCATTGGCTTCAATGGAATCCTGGCGTCAGGAAAGAGCCCCTACCTAAACAGGTAATGAACACCCATTTCCATAGAGAAGAGGCATGAATGTGTTCATGGAAATATTCTTCGGTTCTTTCCGTAAAGTCACGTAGTTAGAAAATACAAAAAAAAAGAAAAAGGAAAAAAACCCACGACGTTTCGATCACAACACAAGTGGTCTTCATCAGACGAAATGTAACGGCTTATAAGGGCTTCCAAAGTTGTGAGTGGGCGGAGGACTAGAGTTGCGAGGCAGAAGCAAGGAAAAACATGTCCATGTTCATGGAAATGTTTAAATGGGGTCATGAAATTGACCCTTGGTTATGATTCACTTGTAAGATATTAGAAGCTTATTTGTGCTCAAATCGATACAGGATGCAACCATGGGTAGGTCATTATGCTCTGTGTGCTTAATCATGGGTTAAAACCTAATCATGAGGTCACGTCAACAATGGAAAAGGAAACTGATGAAAAGAGATGATGAATTCAGGTGGGTTATAAATAATCTTACTTCTTCTTTTTAAAAAACACTAAGATAGCTCGATATGACCACTATTAAAGATAACATATTACAACTTTGTCACATTTTATCGTGTGTATTGTGAAAAACTAATATGCAAATACAAACAAACCATCAAAGTGATTTCCTACTCAAACTAAAATTGAGGCAGTTTTTATCTCCTGTCTTCTACCCTGAGCCACTGGTGGAAATTCCTCATTACAATGGCAGGGGTGAGTCAATCCATAGGAAAACCACTGTGGACATCCCCACAAAACGGGACAAATTTGATCAACCCCAGAGAGATGATGGGCTGAGTCAAGGCCCCAAACAACATTTGAACTTGCAACTTTCCGATTACGAGCCGGTCAATCTACCACTGAGCCAAATGACTGACATTTTAAAACATCTATTAAATAAAAATTACAGCATTAATGACCTACATTGTGGTAATGAACATTGTGGTTGTGAACATTAAGAAAGGCAGATTAAAAGTATCCCTCAGAACACTTTCAAAACATCGACGGCGATCAACAGAAACCGACATTTCCACCAAACGGGAAAAATGTATCTTTAATATTGCCCCATCCAGCCACGTGGCCAAGCTTTGCAACTCCGGCCCCACGAACACTGACACGTTTTCTATTATCATGATGACAGCAGCCGGCCAATGTGATTACCGCTCCCAACAGTATTGAAAGATTTGGATACATTTGGGGACTTTTCTGATGAGTTTCCACAAGTGTGTATATATTTACGATATTGCGTTTGGACATTTTACAATTTTACCATTTTGGCAGTGTTTGTCTTTGTTGATGATGACGTAGAAATGAAACATCTATCGTACTGTCATAGACATTCCGCTATTTAGAATGTTTTACAAACCACGTAGCTGAAAGCACCATATGTCCACTCTAATTCTTATTATTACCATTCTGTAATCCAGTACTAAAGTTCGTATGCATTTAGCCAATTGACAATTATCATTTCAACAAATCGTGTGTTACGTCACCATCATGTATAATTTGAATATGATGTTAAAATAACAGTATCCTCAACACCAGCACAGTACAGCACATTGTAACAGGCACTGCACTGAAATATATTATGTAAGTAGAGTATGTTGCTGTTCCATTTCCTTAACAACAGACTAATTCGTTTTAGCAAACTTCACCAGTTAAAATATGAAACCGTCCTTAAGATGACGTACACAAAACATTGAACGCTCAACACCAGTCGCCAGCCTACCTTTGGCAAACCCAATGACAGTGAAAATAAGAATCTTCAACAAGTCACAAGAAGTGGGTCCCTTCTTCCTCCGCTCCATCATCGCCGCTCGCCAATTCGCAACTGCGGCCAGGCAAAGGAAATTCTGGCCGGTTTATTCAGAAAAAAAACACAGCCGGTGGTGACATCACTTTAAGTTGCGAAGCGCAGGATGAGTGACGAGTTGGCATTACCGTTTACCCCGCCGACCTACCAACCCACCCACCCCCCACGGTCTTTCTGTGCGACGTCCCCACCACCGTGTGTGTTGTGTGTTGGGCAACGGTAATTCGCAACGGAGCCCCCGCGGTGCAATCACTGGCCATGGTGGTTACCTGGAGATGGCCCCCTTTGCATGTTTGTTTGGGCGGCATGGCTGTTAAACGGTTGCCCATGGAGCGACTCCTAACCGAGCCTCAGAGTCGTGGCCCCCCACACACCTGAAGTCGTAAGACGGCTTCATTGAACTGCCCATCGCATCCCACGGTGCTGTCGCTTGGACCCGAGACAATGAACGTGGCACAATGGAAACACTTGAGCTTGTTTCTTTTCTTGTGTTTCCGAATCATTGTTATGTATAATATTGCGTGCCTGCGTGTGTGCTTTGAAGTTCGAGCACAACGAGGTTATTCCGTGTTTTTCTAATTCGTAAACCCACGTAAAGTATCGTAGAAAGTGATGATTTTAGTCGGTATGAACGTTTAAATGCTGTATAAAGTACGTACATTCAAGTCAGTAAACTTAATGGTGCAACCCATTTGTAAACATACTCCGATTGAAATGCGCGTTGCCAATTGCCCATAACTCGCGTTGAGCGTTGCTGAGTATCGCTTGACACACTGCAGAGTTATAAAAAAATAATTCATTCACAGTACTGTACTTACATTGGCATGCTCTATCCCCTGTATACTATTCAATCATTTAGACACCAACTCTATGAACTATAGAGTTTTGTTTAGCAGTCATTCCCTTTATAATCCATTTGCGTAAATTTCTGAAGAGAAAAAGCCACCTACTCATTAGCACGGTTGGCTACGTACGGTGCGAAAAAAGTTCAACATGCATACATATTGCTGGCTGACTGTTTATATTTCACAGCGCAATGTTTGTCTATCCACATTTGTTCTGTTCTGTTTACAATAAACTTTACTCGACACAAACTTGCTTACTTATTAATTCAATGCACAAATGATTTACCGTGACACGTGCCTTAATTCTACCGGCAGACATCTCTTCAGTGGCAAAATACTGTACACGGCCTTGTACCAAAATCAGATTTCACAATGATCAAGTCTTCAGGATACACACATACACTGCTGAACTGTGTATTTGTACAGCACAGCGTTGCCGTGGTCTCGCGAGATGCTTGTCCGGAAACAGTGGGCACATTCACAAATATGCTTTACCAGGAACTTGCAGCATTCTCAGACATTGTTTATATCCACTGGCAGATGAAAGTCTTCGAATGTCTAAATCCTTACCCCTAACATCCCTTACACATGCAATCACCATCCATTACTCAAAACTCTTTTGTTTTCAGGTAAGGTCCACCAAGCTATATAGCTTCAAAAGCGACCTGGCCACAAATGCGAGCAAATACTTTAAACGTATTGTTTCTCAATGTGGAGGGGAAAGCCTAAGGACCCGAAGAAAAATGCACGCGACCACGGGGAGAGAGACAGGCAAACTCGAATCATAAAGGCGTCAGGGTCTGGATCGAACCCACGACCTCCTGCATACCTGGCGAGGGAAATAACATCTCGCCACCATGGCAAAGGCGAAAACCAGTCTCACTGCTGCACACAAGCTGATCTCATCACTCCATCTTAATGGTGGTATCTTTTGAGCATTTTCACCTTTGGCTGCCATTCCATAAACCAGCCGCGTCAATCATCTATCATTCCACTGGAGCTATGTATGCACTTTTAAATCTAAATAGAAATCTCATCTATTTAGAACTACTTTGTGTTTAGTTTGTTGTCCTTCCCCCTGCACATCCGATTAGCACAGTTGACTACATACGTGATATGGTCTATTCAAGCCCACTTCCCTTAACGGTCAATGTAATGTCACTCATTTGTGTTTGTTCCCTGATCCAAGTGTTTCTTCTGTATCTCATTGTCATTCCAAGCATGCATCTGCCACACGCTTGCCACAAAGTTCAGCTTTAGCTTTCTTTATCAGAGTGCACGTTTATGAGTATTGTTTTAGTGGCTAATATGCACCGATTAATAACTTCCTCAGGTGCATTCACAGGCTGCTTTTTTCGTGATATTCGTTTTTTTAGAGCACTCATTCCTGTACTCGTTCCCTCTCTATTTCGTAATTTTTAATCTGGAGCCACATTCATACTTGCCCCAGGCATGCACATTTCGCTGTTTTCCACTTGTCCTTTTTTCTGCTCCATTTGTTTTGGTGACACAATTCATTTATAACTTAAACATTCCCAGGCCCTAATCTGTAATTACATTTCGGTTGTTATTGGAATCATATCATGTAAAAAAAACGATAACATATTTTCATAGCCAGAAAAGCACCATGTCTTGTAAAGCAACAGACCTACTTTATACTTAGTAAACCATGTTTATTGGACACTGAATGCAATGAACACCAAATTCATTTTATTTATGTGGACGTTAAGAACCTCAGCAGTGCTGGCTTGGTGCTCGGAAATGGGCATTCACTGCACGAGCCACCCAGCCACCTGTTTCTTGATTACATCTGTCCAGTGCTTGCTGAGCTGCATTAGCTTCCGGTTACCGAATGAATACATTATGAGGTCGTACTCATTACAAAGTGCTTGTCACAAATGAACCACAATACCTTGCTGATCTCGTCAAGGAGCATAAACCATCACGTGAACTCCGGTCATCCTCGCAGCAGCGGCTTTTGTTATCCATTGAACAAAGATGGTCACCACATCGTGCACTTTCAGATGTCCTTCTGCGGCCGTCTGGAACGCTTTTCCTTCCTAGATTAGGAAAACTAATTTCTTTATTACTGCTTTTAGTGTTTAGTTTGTTGTCCTTCCTCCGCACCTCCGATTAGCACGGTTGGCTACGTACGGTGCAAAAGAAGTTCAACAGATACACGTACATATCATATTCAAGGTCAAGAGGGTACCACTGGCAGTACCGTTGATGCCACTACATATCCCCATTGCTTCCTGCCGTTGGTTAGATCCCCGTAAACTGTGGCAACATTGATAAAAGGCACACACGGTCTGCTTCACAGTATCTTCACCATTTTGCTTAGCTTGGTTACTGTTCTGCAGGACGTCCCTTCAGTGCCCGACTGGGTAACCAGCCCTCCAAAGACAAAAATCCCCCCTTATGTCTTAAACAGACTGTTGGGGCAAGTGCTGTTAGCGAGCAGCACCTAAGAAGGCCGGCACGACACACGGGGGGGTGGGTGGCCAGCCCGACGTCCGACTGCCTTTGTCTCTCGAGTGGCGATGTTTACACCCCCCACCAGATACTCATTTGAGGCTGAGTCAACCTGTCCTCCACCATCACCCACACATGCTTCACACTTCACAACCTCCATTTCCTTATTTGACTCCAATAACTCTCGGCCAGATTCCACACTTACAATTTCTTAAACCTATCCTGTAGTGAAATGCAGAGTGTTCTTGGCATGCACCTATGTTTACAGGTCAGAAGCATATTCTCCAGTTTTTCTGAAAGTGTAGCTCTGAATCGTATAGTAACACAAAAAGTACGCCTGTCACAGGAACTCACGTTGACTTCACCACAATCAAATGTGGTGTCCAATGTAGTCCTTCGTAAACTCACCCTGGCAATACAATGTCTCTCTACTTCTCTCTCACAAGTCCCCGTATTATAACACACCGTCCTATATTACCTTCACATTCTCCCTGCCTCGTGACACTTGTGGTAATCAGCACAGGAGTCACACCCCCAGCCACTGTTACTACGAATCGTTTGGAAGCTCACCTTGTTTTAGCATGACACTGTTTTACTTAGGAAAGCCGCATTGAGTCACAAGGTTCGTTTTAATGAGGGTCCTGCTACGTTTTAGCTGCAGGGGTGATGGCAGGGATGCGTTTCTCAATTAAGTCACTTTGCAAGTCGTTTTAAAAAAATTGGCAAATTTGGATCATCATTCCAACACACAGCGGCCTATACTTCCGTGAATTATCTCTCAGGAGTGAAGTCTTTAACGTCCACTGTGAAGAAGATGCCGAAGTGGATCTATAAGCTTCCCGGGAGGGGTCCTGAAATGTCAAGCTTTATAAATAGGACCCTTATATTAATACGTCGAACAAAAAAAACATAAAATACCTCTGGTAAATATCAATACATTACGAATTTTCGGGGTCGCAGTGGCGGGGGGAGTGGGTGATCACCCCTATTGCCTCTCACTTGGATCCACCACTAAACAAACGGAATGTATTTTATGGTAAATACACCAACAGTATTAACCAGGACAACCTACCGGATGTAACCCGTGAATGCGCTTCTGCTGGGCCACGGCAAACTCCCTTTCCAGGGACCCCAGCGCGCAGCTTCAGTAAGTCAAGCTGCCAAAAGCTTCAATGCCACAACCCCGCATCGTCCACATCGAGCCTCGGAGGTGGAAATTATCGATTGTGATTCTTGGGTTTCTTTATTTTTCTATATTCTTTTCATGTTTCATCTGATATACAGTGATTGAGTTGTACAATTCATTCACATTTTACCAATGTTTTATCTTAAAATGTTATTGATTGCACCTTGCAGTGGTGAAGACCACATCAAGATGACACAATACAGAAAAAAAAAACTTGTGTTGTGTATTTCTGTATGTTATGTTCGTGTAGCCAATATGTAATACACGTAGCTATTTTTAATTCATACTTATTAAGAATCAGCAACATACTTTGTGTCATAGTATCCTTCCCAATTGTTTCAAACCATAGTTGTAGCTACCACTTGGCAACCATAAATCCGAATGGTCTCTGATAGTGTCGTAATCATTATTGCCAAACGCGTAAACTCAAGCAACGTAACAACGCGGGGAGGTGACTATGCTCTGTACCCGCACAGGTATGGTTGCTGCATTAATTCACTTCATGCCTTAGGCTCTGTTGACGTGAAAACGAAGAATAACAACTCGCTCGATAATGGTTTCATTGCAAAAGTTGGTGGCT